GGGCTCAAAGAGGGACGGGCTTGGGCCTCGCTCCGATCAGCGCGCTGGATTTGTTTGATGTTTGAAGAGGTGACCGGAACAAAACGAGAAAACAACGAGAAACACCTTCGAAACTGAAGGACATCGAAAAGTGGTGAATTCGTATTTCTCAAGTTTCTACACTTAGCCATCGTCGAAATTTGTCTGTTCAAGCAGCGTCAAAGAAGGACATGAACCCCTCCCGAGGGAGTCCGGTAGTTGCGGGATGCGGGTCCACTGGTTGCTTGTCAGTAAAAACCACCATGCGACAACTGAGCACATACCACATTGGAATGAACGCAATGAACATAGCAATCCACCTGGAGATGTCCAGTTCTTTGGGCGTTTGTTTTGGACCCACATGTACTCACTGTAGTCGGTGCTTGGTCTCATGATGGTCGAAACATGTCGAATCCCTCTTGAAGGTAGCAGGTAGCACTTTCTGAATTATGGAGCTGCCTTTTTCAAGAGGAATCCTGTAACAGTTCTCAATGGAACTCCAAAGACATCTGGACGCATCATTCACTGAGAGGTCGGACTTTGACTTCTTCAGCCTGGGCGAACTCTGTGTTTTCATCTGGAAAGTTAGTTTCTCTAAAATTAGCGGGGGGAGCTTCCTTGAAGAAGCGTCAGCTATCCTGCGTCCACGAGGTAGTAGCTTACTAGAAGGCACTAGCTACCTAGATACTTCCTACCTCTACCTGCCTACCCCCCCGAAAAAAGAATGCCAACGGTCCACATAGAAACATTTAACCAGTTCAGGTCAGTCAACATCGGCAACATGCGATGGAGCCAAACAAATGGTCCGAAGGGTTCAGTGATAAGTGAAAAGTATACATTATATGATTATATATGTATAAAGTTGCAAAACATAAACATATATATATTATAACTATGTATGTATATTTGTATATATTTGTGTATTATATATGTGCACTTCTCTTGAGTCTGTCACGAACTGGCAGACCCATGAGCTGGAGGACTTTGCGCTTTCGAAGCCTCCCGGTTGTGCACTCCCCACGAAGCAGTTCTCCAGGACTAGTGTTGAAGCAAGAGTGGCCTTGAATGCCAAATGAAATCAAGGACAACATCCCACTATCTGAAGTGTGATATGTCTAGGCTTCCATCAACCGTGCTGCAATTCCTGGGTCAATCAGTGCAGTGAGTTTTGCTTCTTTCCCCTCACTGGAGTTGCAAGATTTTGCACACTTGTGGACTCCGACACGTTCTTCAGCCATGCTGGGCGCGTGACCAAGGGTATATGAGTGACATCATTAGCTGACCTACCTCTCTCAGGTGTTCCTTCTAGCTTGGGAACACGTTCCTCATGATAGCTACCGACTGCAACACAAACTTCATTTCGTTTGAGACCTGCTTGTGTCCAAAATTACAACTATGAACTTTCAACGTATTAAAATGTGCTTGTGTCCCGGTTTTCGTATAGGCAAAACGCACTAAACTGAGAGCCAGAAAATCCCAGAACTGAACCAGGGTAGTTCACTTGGTGTTCAAAGTTCTGGAGTCTGTAATTGTGTCTGTTTGGTAGGTTTGTTGGGGTGGAGGCCATCGCTACTAGGTTGGAGGCTATCGGATGCATTAAAGTGTTGTTCCTTACCCCGTGGAAGTGGTTTCATCCAAAGGGAACTCACTTGGGGCGCCCCACCGGTGGCGGCGGTGGCGGCGGCGGCGGTGCTTGGCCTGGTTTGATAAACGTGCAATGGCTTTCCCACCTGCTCAATTGGAGGCGACTAGGTGTCCAAACTGTGAAGTTGCTTGAGATTTTGACGAAAAGCTCTTGTTAAGCTTAACAGTCCAAACCTGTTCTCTTTCTTTCCACACCCCATTTTGCCCACATAGGCACATAGCTATCATTCTTAATGTTTTCCAAGGCCTGAGTTCGCTTTGGCCAGATCCCACTGAGGCCGCTACTGAGCTCTTCAGCCATCGAAGGATCCCTGGCAGAAGACACCATGCCAGGGATCTTACAAATCTACTTAGGATATGTCCCTCGGTATGTCCTGGTTCTTTGCATGAAAAACAGTGAATAGCTCACAAGTGGAATGCTTCTTTGGAACCCCAAAAAACCCGTGGAGACACCCCAGATATATGATCCGTACAGGTCCAGGAGCACCACAGTCGGATCAACTGGTCTGTGTCCGTGGTGGGCCATAAACTTCAACCTCAAAACACAGGAAAAGCGGAGAGGTGGAGAGGTATAGCCCCAAAGCACAATGGGCTCAACCGATTCTTTGCCCACTAACCTTTTGGCCGGGGTGAACATTGAAAAGGGCCCATGAAACGCTCCAACGAATTTCATGCAGGACAGCATCAGGAAAATAGATGCAGAACACAAACACTCCATGTATGGCATATTTACCTACATTGACCCTTGAGTGTTTGGGAAATACATGTCCGCAAAATTGGCGTTCTTTCTTTTGATCTACGACACTCTCGCTGTTGTCACCCCGCCTCAGGCATTGCTGAAGGAGAGCAATGGTCTGCTGCAAGGCCTTCCAGGGTGGTGATTGATCTTACAAAACCGGCTCGTTGCGGGAGCTCGTGGCGTCCTGGTGCCGAGTGCTATACACTCCTTGGAATCGTGGAAGTGGATGGCACCATCTTATTTGTAGAGGAAAATGGTCATCCAAGGGGCCATTTTCCACTTCCATGATGATTCCAAGGAGTGTATCCGTATTCGGGAAAGGTAGGACACGATTTGCCCGTTGTTTGTACCCTGGAACTCCTTGCCGGCTCTCTGCTTGAAGCTCCTCACGGTCGCCGAACACCTTTCCGAAAAGGTTTTGCAAGTCATCACAAACCGGTGAAGAACTGGGCCCGCTTCTTCAAAGCAAGCGGCCGTTCGGAACCATGCCACGGTCGAATCGGATTCTTCCACATACCGCACATCCTGCACAACAAAAATGCCAAACAAAAAGCGTTATTAATGTAGACTCTTGCTGAATAGAAACAAGGTAAACATCGATTGTAAACCCTCTTCAGGCTTGGAGAATTGAAATATCCAGAATCCCACACCATCCTCCACCGGAACCGCTGCAATGCTCCACCGCCGCGTGGGGCGCAGTCTCCGCCTGCTCCTCACGTTGCTGCAGGTCCTTGGCTCGTTCCAAGCGCGCCTGGAGCCGCTGCCGGTTTCGCCGCGGAGCGGCCTCGGTGGCGCATGGCGACGTGGCCACCTGCCAACTGGTAGGCAGTTGAGGGACTAGACTGTATAGACACCCTATGCTATTGTGTCCATTTTTGGGACACACTCGCATTGACTGAACATTCAGATCCTTCACAACCACTGGTCAAAGAGATTTCTTGTATAAAACGCATGACTTCTGGGCTTTCCTATTTTTTTCGGCAAACCCAAACGCAAGGTCTGAGCGCCCAGCAGGCGCATTGACCAAGCCCCCCAAGCCCAAGCTGGCCTGGGCGGAAACTTCATGTGCTCCTGACTAACATTCATCTGAGTTCCTAGCATGCTGGGTCCATTCCCATGCAGCTGGCTTGGGTGGTCTTTATAAAGCTCACAAAATGAGACATGTCCAACGCGAGTTGATCAGCAAAACACAGGCGTGGACATCTAGCAACACCGGCGGCAACTTTCTGCACAACATTCTGCCTCCCAGTTGATGAACAAGTGTCGTGAGAGAAGCACAATATTATGGCTAAAAACATGTCAATGCGTCTAGCAATATCATCCGATCGAGTCTTTATTGCAATTCTTTCATATAGCATGGATCGTTCATTGATTAATGGATTGAAATTCATGTCCTGTAGGATAGCTCCCAAGAAACTGGCAAGAAATTGTTCACATGGCGACATCCCATACATATGGCTCTCCTGTCCAAATCGGCAGGAACATCAAGAACATGACTTCTCCGCTAGGAAGGAATCTGTTCGACAATCAGAGTCCCTATCGACAAAATGTCTGCTGAGTTTGTTCGGCTGTGAACTGCTGAGTTTGCCACCAACTGCTTATTTAAGGCCATTTCGATGGCAGGCCTGGCAGGGTAGGACCAGTTCCGGTTGTTGACTACGTCTGTGAAATTCAGCAGGAACAACCCAACTTGCGAAAGTGTGCCAGACTAGTCCTACAATCACATTTCTGTATCAAAGCAACGTTCAGCAACCGAGTCGCGATTTCTGTTGATAAAATCATGAGATCTGTTGCACAATACCTTCCACTGCTGAACGTCATTTAAGAATACTTAAATCCTGGGGGCCAGATATTGGAATACATGCAATGACACATCAGCAGCAAGAGTGCCCCATCCCGATTTTGTGCCGCCATGCTGTCCCAAAGACACGAAAATTGTTGCAGTTTGTTACTGCACAGCCTTGAAACTAAGGGAGTGGCTACGGCAACTGAGATGACTAAAGTGTTCCAGCCTTTTTCATGCTGAACTGTTTGGTTCGTGGCATCGATTCCCTACTTCCATCAAAACTCTATCTATGTCACAATAGCAACACAGTTCAGCACCCAGGCACACATCAATATTGTCTTCCAACCATGTGGCCATATTCGGCCAGCTGAACACGAAAGCTTCTGAACAACGAAGTCATCTTCGCCTGGCTTGTCAGCGATGGACACCACTCTCCATTCTGAGGACATAGAACACATGCCATGGCTGGGTTTGAGTGGGACATTGTGTTGGAATACTTCAAAGGTACTATATATTAAGTTATATTGGTGAGTCCCGCATATTACTGTATATCACTGAGTCAACCGATGTGGTGCACTAACCTGAAGAACTCAAAGACCACTAAAACACAAGAATGTCACAAGAATGGGTCTGGATTCAGAATGTGACGAGAATGGGCTTGGCTTTAGACTGTCACAAAAATGTGTTTGGGCTTAGAATGTCGCAAGATGGGTTCGGGCTTAAAGCGTCGCAAAGAAAACACACAATGATTGCCGACTTCCAAATCTCTCTTAGGCGGGCGGATCGAGTTCATCGATCCTAGCTCTGCCACCTTCAGGTTTTTGTCTCCTGGAAGGTCTCTTCGGTGATGATGACCTTTGGCCCAAATTCGGAACATCAAATACGTGGGTTTGTTTTGAAGGCATACTATATAGAGTAAGTAAGTGTCATAAAATCTTATTCATATTCGCATATACACCACACCTTGTATGGCAAATGTTCCGGCATGAGTTGCACCAGCAGATGCGGCACCAGCAGACGACATGTTGTAGAAGAAATTGGGTGGAAGTTGTTAGATTATATTGCCATGAGTTCGCTGCAGAGGAGAAGCGAAGGTATTACATGATTTGAAGCAGTTGAAGCAACAGCAAGAGCAAGACACAAATGAAGTGAAGCAAATCTATTCTTGGTCGCTTAGATACGCTAGATACTACTCTTAGGCAAGACACCGTTTTTCAATCCATGAGCAGAGTTCCCCAGATGCTACCCATAAATCTTTGGTTTTGTACCAAAGACCGGATCTACTGCGACATGATCTTTGCCTGGAGTTGGGTCGAACCAACCAACCTTTGTGTGTTGGTTCAGTTCGATGAGGCTTTTTAAAGTGTCACGATCTGGCTTTCAGATGGCTCCTGGCCCTGGCGTGGGCCGGAGGCGGTGCGGCGCCAAGGTCTGAGGCGTGCCGCCTCTTTCAAGAAGGCCACGCCGTTGTTCCCATGCAAACAACCTTGGAGGGGTCTGAATACTCTTGAGAGCCACGTAACTCCTTTTTGTCGAATGTGGTCACATCCGCCTCCACATCCGAACTGGATCGTTTTCTCCTTTTCTTCGACATACTCCTTCTTCACACGGCATAGGCCAGTCTGTGGTTGACACGCAGGCATCTAGTGATAGCGGCACACGGCGTGCTGTTGAGGACGCGAAAGAGAAGAGATCTTTGCTCCTGGAATGAGGTATGGCTTGATTCATCATGCTTGATCCTTTTGCATCACGGAAGACTGCCAATACATAATACTGGTTTTGTAAATGAAACGCTCGTACTTTGGCTCAAGTGGAAGAAAAGGCGGGTTCACCGACTCGCATGTTGAAATGGCACCAGAATAACCAGAGCCAGAAGATGAAGAGCAACAGCAACATCAGGTGATGGAAACAGGAGGAAACACTGGTAGTTGCACCGATGCTTCAAACCTGCACGACCATGCTGAGACGTAAGCTTCCAAAGGGTTCCTCGCACACACCTGCATGGGGAACTTGGATCCTTCCCACCTTGATAGAAGACGATGTGCACGAAGCATGTGGATGATCTTGGTGTCGTTAGCCTTCAAGAGCTCCAGTAGTGACCTCTTCCACTTTGTCTTTTCCGCAGACTTCTGGGCCCTCGTAGATTTTGCTCATGAGGTCTTCCGGATCAGGTCGGCACATCTTGATCTCCGCAGGCAGTTGTAAAGTAAGACGAAGTGTCACCTCACGGCCCTGTAGGTGGCAATGCCCGGCGACCAAACAGGACATCATGACAAAAACGGGAAACGAATGCAAATTGGAATGCTGAGCTTTGATGCATGCGTGGACAAAATACTCAATATTCCTGGAACCAAGAAGCAAGCTTTTCTCAAAGACTTTCTACGCAATCTTGGTTCGTGGTTCGAGGAAAATCTTAGGACGTTCAGGAAAAACATAGGAAAACCCTAGGGTTTTCTAGTAGTTTCTTTGTTCCAAATGGATTTTTACTGTTTATAGTTCCTTTTGACACGTTATCTTCACCTGCAGTGCACGAGGGGGCCGGGTGGCCTCCCCCGGGGCAAAGGGAAGCAAAAAGCTATTTCAAAAAAATACCCAGTACATATAGATATAAGGTATATAAGGTATCAAAAAGAATCACAAAACACTACAGTGGCCAGCAAAAAAAAAATCAGCAAAAAACACTGTAAAACACAGTGCTTTCATAGAAAAGGTGGGTACTGGGGGGGGTACCATACATATATTATGAGGGAAGACCTCCCAACCAAACGGGCTTAGTCAGCTGTTCCTTGGGGTGGGGGCGGGGTCTCTGCAGTCTCCCTATTCTACACGCCTAACGGTCGGAATAGGTAGACCTGGTGGCTTACGGTCACACGGATTAGATGGCAAACACATCATTTGTGGCTTCCATCAACTGACGAAAACAGCTGTTTTCCTGAAGATCTGATCTTCCTAGAAAACACCTCGGAGACTTCATGTGCAAGCGTGTACAAGTACAAAACAAAAGGTAGATTGTTGCTCTTTCTGGCATACGGCACCCCTTCACCATGTGAATGAGTACTTTCAGCGGTTTGATGCGTGATCGAATACACTCTGTATGTTCACCAGTGTTCTGCTTGCCTCACAGGGCCTTTTTCACCCTGGAAGCGACCAGATTGTAACGGGGCCACAAACATCTTTGGAAGAACATGTCGGGACAAGACCTGCTAACGGGTGATGGCGCGTGGCACAGCATGGCGCAAGGTCTAAAGGAACCTCCCACCAGTTTGGAGTTAGGCGCGTATGAAGCTACACCCTCGAAGATTAACATGGAACCTGAAAAAAAACACTGGATTGTAAAGGAAACTAGTCTTCCAGTCTGGTCCATGCCAAGCCCGGCTCCGGTCTCTTCGCCAAGGCACCCAGTCGCCCATGGTTTCCAAGGGTTTGGGCACTGAGCCACCACGGACCGCCTTCAGGGTAGCACCCACGGAGCCGGGCCAACAAATAATGTTGGTCACCTGGGATGGAGCTGAGCCTGGGTTCTGAAAGGGAAGAACTGCTTGGGCAAGGTGTTTCTGAACCCGGTAATTTGTTGAATACTTGTTGAGGGGATGTGAAGTGAAGCCTAGTTGCTAGATCTTGCAAGAACTGAGACAGGACTCCGCGCAAAAAAAAAGCAATTGGCTGCGAGCATTGTGTTGCACAAATTCAAAACAACTGTCGCACCGGCAGGTGGCCTTTGTTAGTACCACAAGAACCAGGGCTGCCACATGCTACAAGTACTACCCAACTTCTGTGAGTGTGATGGAATTGTAAGGAGTACATATATATCTATAGCGGAAGGCAATGGTGATTGCTGCGCACCAAATGCAGAACAGGTGTCTGTCTCAGATCAAGATCTTCCCCCATCCAGGTCGGTAAGTAGAACTATGGAACTGGAAAGTTTACCTCTACGTTATTTTTGGTACAGCTACAGCAGTAGTAAGCAAACCTAGAGCATACCAACGACCCTTTTATGGATCAGAGGTCAAACCGGGCAAAAAAAAGGTGGCTTTCTTTGGAATCCTCAGAAAGGTCCCTAAGTCAACTCGCTAAGCTGGGCATCTCATCCTGGCACCAATTCCATCGGCAAATCGCAACGATGACCGTGGTCTTCATCGAAACGTTGACCGTGGACGTCGGTCTCCTCGCCTCGAGACCTCGCAGTGGACGTTGAGACCGAGCCACGCCTTCAGGACACCTCTTTGGGCCCATGTGCAACACCTCTGCCTCCGGATGAAGCCTTGGGAAGTCGCAGCTTCAGCTTCAACGTTCGTTCGACCGAGAATCCACGAATCCGAAACGACCGCTGGGGTCGCGCTCGCGCAGGTTAGGTGTCCTCCTGGTCCTATATATGGCAGGCCCTTTTGGAGCCCATTGATAACTTCTGTCTAAAAAAGGGAACCCATTTGTTAGGAACCTGCGCGGCCTCAGGTTCTGTAGGCTGGTTACGAAGGGAGGAAAGTGGCCCAAAACGACGAGGATATTTGTCTAATGACCCACATCATGGGGTTGCAAGAATGGTTTGGTGGCAAAGGGCAGGGACGAACGATAGACATCACTGCAAGAGCCTCACGAATGTGGTTGCGTCAGCATAGAGGGCCTGAAAGCCAACACCTCAAGTCCCGAACCATGCGTGGCATGAAGCCGAGATGCTCGTCTAGAACAAGCCAGTGGGAACTGGCCATTACATTCAAATTCTGTTTGAAAAAAGTCTACAAAGCACCCGATGCGGACCCCTCAAAGAACATGGCAAGGCTTAGGCACTGAGGGCAATAGCGTGGCAAGGCTTCTGGAATGCCCAAGCCATGAGCGCAATGGAAGGCGCCACACAAATGCAAGACCACGCATTCCGGCGCCTCAAAAGCGATGTGTGCTAGACCGTTTTTGGTGAGAAAAACCTCCCGATCGCTGTGGAAGACTGGGACTGGGACGACGTTATGGCTGTGGGTCATGGCAGGACACCCTGGTTGACCACCCAAAATGAAGAGAATAGACTACCAGGGAGGTCAACCTACTAGGGTTTGGGGCTCGTTTTGACCGCGCTGTGGGACCTGCACCACAAGACCCACCAAGCACGACCGACAGCAGGTGTAGGTCTCGCATGGTCATTGGGGCTCCAGGTTGAACGAACCATCCCCATAGAGCATTATAGTTGCAAAACACAAGGACCATCTTGCAACGTGTTCTTCCAATATGGAACCTGAAACCGCAGGTGTAGCGGACCGAGGAAAACCGTCGGTGTTCCACTCGTGGTCCATTCGACTTGGGTCCATGGGAGTGTCCGGGAGGGCTAGAGCCGACTCCGCCGCCTCTGCAGGCCTCCTCCTTGTTGGGATTTGGTAGCCGGAGCTCGAACAAAATGGGTGTGTTGGAGACCGCTGGGAGTCGTGTGTTAAGTCAACATGTTTTGGTAGTTCCCTAAACCATCCCACACCATTTGCTCCAATGAACCCCCCCCAATGAGCCATCTCCAATCTCTAACTTTTGAGGCGCTTCATTGCAGCTAGAAACGCGCCTCCGGGTCAGCTCGAAGCGCTTCAGCCACAGACTTTGCCATGGCATGATCCCACAGGAGTTGCGCCTCGCCAGAAGTTGCCCCAAATTCCCGGGTTCCGTCGCTGTCCCACTGGATGTGCCCTGTAGAGTTTACGAAATTTGATGTGCAATGACAAAGTTCATGAAGATTCTATCAGATGTGGGATTCTGAAAAGGCTGGTTGGATTGGGATGTGATGATGGTCTTCGACGAATTTTCAGTTCGACGAATCACAAGTGATCGTGACAGCGGAGCACCATCACATACCCTGCACATACGGGCAACTCTCTGTCTATAGGCGGAATGACCACAGGACAATGAGTGGAGATCTGATCTAGCATCAGAAATGGTACGAAATGGTGCAAGCCTTCGGTGTGAGTGCTTTCCAAGAGGAGAAGCAACATGGAAAACCCCACGGAAGTCCCCACGGTGCCGATGAATCGAGAAGCCCTCGGATCGAACGTAGAGCACCTACTTCCTGCAAACAGTCATTGAACGAATGCCAGCTTCTGTGCATCATTCAACTGCCCAACCCTTGCTTCAATGATGGCTTTCTCGGAGCCTGTCTATAACAAAAGACATCGGAACCAAGACAATGCACTCGTGGGGTTACCGTTACGACCAAAATACACAACGGAATGATCGGGACCTGGAATGGAGATACACCAGACATCAAAACCATTCAAAATCCATTATGGCGCTCTTTAGCAGCTTCGCTGTGAGATTCGCCGGCATCCTTCGATCCTCATTTCTCACATGTACCCCTGATCAGGTCGGCCTGCATGGTTTCAGGCCGCACGCTTCGCAAATCCTCGCCTCGCTGTCACGGCCGTGATTTCGACTGCATGTCAGGAGCCTGGATAGAACATTGCAAAAGGCATCTAGGTCGGTTTCCCCCCAAGATCTTGAGCATCTTGCGTGATGAACCCCAAATCCTGAGCATGCTTACATACGCCTACCATCCAATGAACTTTCAGACAGTTCAGCTTCCAACTTTGTGTTGTCATAAACTGATCTACAAAACGCGAGGTCCAGATCCAGGAAGCCCACTGAACCCTGTTCCCAAACGAATTCGCTCAACGCTGAAGCGAAGCGCTGGAAAAGCCGATGAAAGGACAGCTGCCACCCGTGTCACTCTGCAAGGTGGGCATGGACATGGTTTCTTCCTTAGGACTCAGGACGCAAAAAATGTACTGGATTCCACATTGTGTGAGAGTTGAACATCGTGAACATGGATGCTCACACCCTTTTGCTTCCACAGAATCTCACCCCAAGGCGGACTGGGCGGGTCTCGACTGCGCGAATGAAAGGGGTCCCCTGCGTCACCCAAATGACCCGTTGCGGGGTTCAACACTGGTCTCTCCAAGAAAAGATACAGACCATGCGGCCATGGGGGTCAAAACCTTTGTCAAACTCAGTGGCACCTAGTCTCGTAGTCAACTATAGACTATACCTGTAAGTTTGATGTGACAGTCGATTTATGACTGCATACCATCCTTACTCCGATCCTCGCACCCCCCGCCAACCAACAGTTTTTGGGTAGAACACTCGGCGGAACGGAGGGGGTTGAATTCCCGCCCAGATGGGCAGGCAACGACGCGAACATGGTGCCCAAATGCTCCTGGACCCTCATATGGAGGAGTCCAGACCCTCACATCCCTAGGTGTTGAGGGACCGGAAGGGCTGTGAACAGAGCATCTGGGTGTGAGAAATCCAGTTCCAGCTTTTCAGCCTGCCAGATTCGCCCAGCTGCGAATTTTCTTCGATAGGCTGGACTGGGAAGAGGAAGTGGAAAAGGAGGTAGCAAAGAGCGGCACCCATTTGCCTGGAGCGATGTTGCTACCCCTCAATACCAATCTTTGGCTCTTCCAGAATCAAGGCCACTGAATTCGGGGCCCGAATTGCACGGTTGTGTGACAGGTGTGGTGAAGCCACGAATTGCACAGTCGTCCGCCCACACGAGGGACGACCGGTCGAGTGCAGTGACGGGAATAGATCTCCCTCGACTGACTCGAACGGTGTTCTATTTTTCGCCGCTCAGCTCAGAGTTTTGGGGGTCTTAGCCCGACATACACCAGTGTCGAGGGAATGATTCGGACCCCTTGAAGCATATATTATATGGCTTCTGATAAATCAACCCCCATATAGGGGTTGGAGGCCATTGCAATAGGGATTTGAGGCCATTGCTATTAGAAACAAAAAGAAAACAAACAAGGAATCAAGAAAGGCCTTTTGTGGTCCTCAAAGTCTCCACATCTACACTGTGGCCCCCCAAACATACGGAAGCAAGATGGAAGACCAAGACCATCCGCCTCTACCGCTTTGCAATTCCTTTAAACAAAAAGAATCAACTGTTCCAAAGTTGTGCCGAACTTGAAGGCTAGGGGTGAAACAATGATCCACTTGCTTTGCATTCAGGTCGAATTACAACACCCCCACTCCATGGAACTTCAAACCATTCAGACCACCTTTTTTCAAATTGTGTTCAAGCCCCTCCTGTTCCCAATTCCCCAGCCCTGCCCAGCCCCCGCCTCAAGCCCTCGCAAGAACTGCTCGCCCTTCCGAGAGACCATCGAGACGTAGCGCCGCGGCGCGTTGGCCTGGGCGGCGAAACCGCGGCGGAAGCCGCGGGCGGGAAGACTCCCGGGGGAGAATTGGCACTGTAATGTATGGAGCATTGGTGCAAAGGAACCCCCAAGTAGGTCCTTTCCAGAGCTTCTGAAACCGCGGAAAGGTTGACCACTTTGGCGTGTCTGTGGGTTTGACCACCTCTAGTCGTGCAGGGTTTCGACAAACAATCATACATCAACATATATATTTCCAATGTTGCTTGCATCTATCTGCTTGAGCTCAAAATACTACAAGTACGCTTCTCCCTGTTGCTATGCCAAGTTGAACAGCTGCACTGAACGCTCGACAGCCAGGTGGCGGCAATCACACGGATGCCTTCGTCTCGACAGAACTGGACCAATGGCCTTGCAACAGGACATCACCATGGTCAGATGGTGTGCATGTTCCTAGTAGCTTCTTGCTCCTAGTAGTGAGGCCAGGAGCCCCTAGTACCGTCCTCGCTTCTAGTAGCGATGCCGGGAGCCCCTAGTAGTGTCCTTGCTCCTGGTGTGCATGTTTACACTTGACTCATCAATCACCAAGGATATGTTTGTGCGGTGATCAATCACCCGGAAAGCTTCGGCTTGATGGGCATCATCTTCCGTGTTGGACACACACACACACAGTCTGAAGTCCACCATAAAGTCTTGAAGTGAAGCACATGTACAAACATTGGTTTCATAAGTGCTTTAATCCGGGAAGTCCAACACACAAACATGTCCATAAGACAATGAGGTTGACCTGCAAATGAGGTAAGAACACATCCAACTGTTGCCCCCACGAAACCAACCCCCATCCCGACGGAGTCTCTAAGCCCAAATGAGCCCAACATGCGACGATGTTGTCGCTTCAAAATGCTTCAAACGGTTCCAATATCTGGTGTCGAAGAGCAATGCGATATGTTGATCAACAATAAGCTATAGTAGTAACAAGTGCCACGCTACTAGGAACAGGTGCCTTACTACTAGTAGTAACAAGAAGCTATTAGAAACAAGAAGCTAATGCGTTATGTTCATCATCATCTTCTCCATCACCAAGCCCGACACGTCGAGAACACCCTTAGGGGGACCACATGGCACATCGACAGACTACCGCTCCTGTAGTCCTCCAAGTAGTTCCCCCAGGGACGGGAGTCCATTAATAGGTCTTCCTCACGAATGGCCTTGTGCAAGACATACCTCAATCGCAAAGGGGCAAGGGGCGCGTATCGCCGCCGCAACGGCGCTGTTGAATTCAGCGTAGCTTCCGCAACGGCGCTTCCGCCTCTCGTAGACTTGGCGTCTCGGGGGTGCCAGTTTTGACAGAAGCTGGGCCAAAAACAGCCTGCATAGCAATCCCATCAGAAGATCATAGAAGTCCTCAAAAGTACGTAGAATTGAGGGTTCACCAGCGCACCATGAAATTCTCATGATTTCATGCTGTGGGAAGGACTGTGTCAGTCGCCTGTACTGTCTACAGCCACTCGCGATCTCGGACGATCTCTTTCACGGTGATTCGGGGAGTTGAACCCATGCGGACGTCTTGGCCGCTCATGTCATGGCATATGACATTGACCCCTGTAGTCAGCCTGTAGTCAACCCCAACTGATCGACGGAAGCGCATGGAGCGTTGATAGGCAATCGTCCAAAGGGGAGGCTTTGTTCACGACAGGAAGAGGGCCGGTATACGGTATACCTGACAAGAGTCTGCCTTTTCATCCATAAAACCAGCCGAAAGGTGGACATGTTGCATAGTTGGAAGATCCAGGTATGCTATGGTATGGTGGTTGTTTAGCGTTCCGGTTCAATCCCGCACCACGAGCCGACAGGCGGGCCACTACTCCACCCCTGCAGCTGAGGGGGTGAGCTGGGGTGTAGACCGTTGAAACACAACAACTTTTTCACGAAATCAATGTGCCACGAGTCAGTTGACAGTAGTATATACGTACTGACGACTCGTTCGCACATGTAAAGAAAAGTTGATAGGAGATTGTGCAACCAAATATATTTTCTAGGCGAAACTGAAATCAAAAGAAGTTCCCTCAAACTTCCTACAAAACGCACCTCTTTTTTTTTTTTTCTCTCTCTCTCTCTCTCTATATGGCTCAAACTGCTGAGCACTCAACGTCCCCACCACTTGCTGGACGAAAATTCATGGGCTGTTCCCACTTAATTTGAGTTGAAATTGGATCGCCCACACCTATTCTTGTGTTACAAACGAATTTGTCTGAGAAGTAAATCTGAAGAATGCCTCATCCTCCGTGGTTTTCGATGTCCAAATGCCTGCCCCAGACACTCGTCGAGCACCTCCTGCACGTCCATTTCGAACATCTCCATCGAGAGGATTAGCCTGCGGAGCAATGAGTCGAACGAAGTCGGTGGATGAGGTCGGTCCCGATGGGCCGAACGAACGAAAAAAGGAGGCATCTCTTGGGGCCGAACGAGACCGGAAGACGTCCTTCTTTTTTTCTGAAGTCTCTTGGATCCGTTGGATCTTGTCCTTTAGGCCTTTTTGCTTCGCTATGTCAACTGTTCACCCATCCCCATCTTCACCCCACCTTCGCTGGCCATGTCGCCTCAGGTGTTTCAGCACTGCAAGCTGCAAGAGATGTGTCACCTCGGCCGTTTCGCCGTTGCGCGGCGAAACGACGCGCAACGGTGCCATGACAACTGGGTGGTGTCCCATTTTCTCAATGTACCTCGGAAAAGGGGTACAAGACTCTCAAGATGTCTCAAGGTACCTGTTGTTTTTTTGGGGGGTCATGTCCCATTTTCAAAGGTACTTTGCAGGGTCCAGGCCTCTTCTGACTTCTCTTTGGAAGCAAAGGCGTCTCCAACTGGGGAGATTGAGACACACCCAGTTGTCATGAAGTCAGGCAGCAAATGCAGGGTGTCAATATATGTCAATGAATTGGAGACCTTTCACAGTTCCCCAAACATTTTACCTGTGCGAACGGGGCAATTCTGGTGACACACACACACATAGATACATGCCTAGACCCTCCCGAAACAATAATGTTTGCCGTAGGCTGTTGAAGCAATATTTTTTGCGGTAACTCAGTTTTTCATATTTTTCTGCCGTAGCTCAATCCCTGGAAACTGAAAACGCCGTCAGAGAAGTGAAAACGCCGTCACTAAAGAAGAATCACCGTTTTGTTTGATCTACAAAAGAGATATTGTTTTGGTCCGTCCATACCCTGAAATTGCCTTCTCGTTTTTTCATGTGCAAGTAGAGCTCATCGTTTTCAAGCCTCATGGTACCACTTCTCAAGATGTTGCAGCCTTTGTCTAAGGTCATGACTGACATCATGGCAGGATTTGTTCACATTCTGATCACGCAATGGCTGAAAGGATCGATTGTGACAAGTCTTGCTGCCACCTTGAGTAGGGTGCGGGGAACAATGCCGTAAGTAGGGGGAAACGCCGTAAGTACGGGGAAAGACGCCGTAAGTACGGGGAAAAACGCCGCAAGTACTGGTAAGAGCGCCGAAATGCTAAATCTTCTGCAATGCCGCGCGCGAGGTCGAGTTACTCACGAAAACCGAGGTCAACTTTTTGGGGGGGTATGTATGTCTGCTGAAGAGTATGTTCATCCCTATCAGTTGGGACTTGGACCCAATCATATTAAAATCCATATCCAGAATTGCATCGCAAAAAAGAAACCTACCAAAATCCATATCCAAAATGGTATCATCCCACAGAACCACATCATCTTTTCATATCAAAAACCACATCAAAATCATCAAAAAAATCAAAACCATTGAACCTTAAGCTTTCTGATATCCTAAGGCTGGGCGGTGGAAGCCGGAAAGCCTTGGAATTGCAAAGGCCGGATGAACATGGGCTTAGACTTTCGGGCTCCCCAATTGACACAAACAACGGTAGCATCAAGCTCACGACTGGCCCGGGGAGAGAGGGAAGACCAAGGGTACGTGGTGATGTACCCCTCTGGAATGAAGCCTGCGGGTTTGGAATTGGTCGTGCACCGCAGCCGTTTGAGAGGTGGTGTGTGGAGATCACCGGCCGCTTGTGGGGGACCAGCACATACAACACTTCACTTTCTCCAGGGTTTGATTTCGCTCTCGCTCAGTTAGCTGCCTGAAACAACATTCAGATGCCGACGCCGCACTTTGTAAGCATCACACCATTCGGACTCCAAGGGGATCGATGTCGTCATGCCACAGCTCCACCAACACAAGAACAAAAACACACAAAACAAGAATATTGCGCGATTACAATCCAAGCCACGCAGAAGTCAAGCTTATCCGTAGCATATGTATCACAAGCATCACCCGCCTAATAACTAACAGATTACAGCATTTTAATATCCGCGCAGACAACAGTAGATATGGAGTATGTTGTTCTTCTTGAAACATCCATTGTCACATCAGCAATGGCTGATCATTTTTGGGGTGGGCGCAGAACGTATGCCAACTCGAGTGGCTTACCGAGCTGTTTCCAATGATCTGCGGAGCGGATCACGGTATTGTCCCGATCCATGAACACGACAGTGCTTCCTCATAGGCCACAAACAAATGAAAGCCATGATCACCAATAACAAAGAGCAACTCAGGTCAAGTCCTTCGCACGCATCGAAGTGCTTCAGGATTTTGTTTGCCAAAGCCCCTTTCCAATAATAAGGCTTAGCCTCAACCTGAAAGCTATCCAACCCAACGTTTCACTCAAGCTTCACCATACACCCAGCCTTGAAGAAATGCTCACCGGTCAGTGAGTGGTATGCTTCAACATAGTCCCCGTTGTAGCCAATCATCAGAAAAACAGGCCGTCAAACGCAGAGTTTTCGCAACTCCAGAAACTTTCCAATCTTCAGATTTGTCGGCTGTTTAAATCTTCACTTCAATTCTAGATTTCCACACACAAACCTCGCTAACCGCGAGGTGTGAACCTCGGACCTGGTGAGCTAAGGGAATTTCCGGACCACGGCCGGACCACAAGGCCACACAATTGCGGAGATCTTCTGATTCATTTGGCCCGAAATCTAACTCTGAGCCTGGATCAGTAGAAGGGCTATCCAATTTAGTTGGACAAATCGAAGGCCCAAGGTTGCTCAATCTCTTCCAATTTGTCGGCCAGTGAACCTACGAGGTGCGGCTCCTCATTCTTGCCATCTACCCAGGCCACGTACAGGTTGACTTTTTGGAAAGCCTTGACTTTGTCAGGCATGGGCAGCGCACTGAATGGTTCCCAGCGCTTGAGGAAGCGCTTGGGGAGGGTTGGGTCCTAGTTTGATAACATAGAGCTATTGCAATCTCTATGGTAAAAAATAGGAAAGAATACGACATCAAAATAGGAATAAAATAGGGCTGAAAACAAGAACAATCATGAAACAGGACAAAAATAGGATTGAATATTCAGATTTCCGGAAGGCGGGTGTTTCATTCCGATCAGAGGCATGATCAGACACGTGTGAATGAAACTACTAGCAATGCTGGAAACTACTACTAGGAGTTCTTGATTTTCAAAAAGACAATGAAAGGAATTGATCAGCTTTAACGGAAAAAAGTAAAGAACTAATCATCTAAAAAAAGAAAATGCATGGAATTGCTCGTTTTAAAAAAGGTCAAAGAAATTGATCAAGTTCAAAAATGAAAATGAGATGAACTACAAGTATAGGAAAAGAGTATAGAAGAGAATTTTATATTTTCAAAAGGAAAATGAAAAGAATTTACAATTTTGAAGCAAAAATGAAAAGGAACTATTTTTTGGAAAAAGATGAAAGGATTTAGAAATCCTTGAAGAAACATATCTTGTTGCACTATAACTATTGTTACTTTGTTCTTTTATAGTTTAACTGATTTTTTGTCACCTTATTCTTTGTATTGATATGTTTGTATTACTACCATTTTGTCTTTTTGTTGATTTCGTGTTCAAATGTCTATTGGTGTATTAGTATTTTTGTTTGTTTAGTCATTCTTTTGTATACATTGTTTTTACTGTTATTTACTTTTTGCTTTTTATTACTTTTGGAAATAATCATATTTTTCCTTTTTCCTGTTTTGGAAAATAGTTACTTTTCATATTTTCATATCCTTCCTATTTACAAGACAATAACAGTAGAAGACAAAACAAATAAAAAACACAACAGCATAAAGTATAAACAAAACAACAAACTAAAAAATACAAGAAACAAAAAGGATAATGGTAACAACAAAGTAGGAACAAAAAAACAAAAAAATTGAATATATCAAAAAGAGTAAAAAATAGAAATGGTAAACAGGATTATTTTGAAAGGAATAGATCGGTTTTAATGACAAATGAAAGGATTGATCACTCTTAAGGGACAAATTCCAGGAATTGGCGGTTTTTTAAGGAATAATGAACGGAATTGAATTGATCATTTCTAAAAGTGAAAATGAAAGGAACTGATCATTTTTGAAGGAAAATGACATGAATTGATCATTTTTTAAAGACAAATGAAAGGAGTTGATCACTTTCAAAAAGGACTAGCTGGAAAGCATGCTTTTCAAACGAAACTACTAGCAAGTCTTTCATTTTTCATATTCTATTCCTAGAACAGCGTCGTCTTCCTATTTCTAAATCCAGCTCTATTTTTCTAACTTGGGCTCCTATTTTCTAATGTCTTCCCATTTTTCCTAAAATATTGTCCGGGCAAGAGACCCCAAACAGTGCGCGTGAGGTCTAGAGGTGTAGCAGCAGAAAGTCTAGAGACCTAAACGCATTGGGGTCCAGAGACGTGATGGTCCATGGCGGTGATGAACGTGGACATCGTGGTGATGTGTGAGTGAGTGAGAGTGAAAAAGAAAGAGAGAGAGAGAGAGAGTGAGTGAGTGAGTGAGTGAGTGAGTGAGTGAGTGAGCAAGTGAGCAAGTGAGCAAGCGAGCGTGCGTGCGTGCGAGCAGGTGAGCACCTGAGAGCACAAAGCGCTGCACCAAAATCTGCATTTCGATGTTCATAGCGCTTGAAACGAAATCGACACTTCGAGATTCACAAAGCGCTGCGCCTGCGACGAAATATGCACTTCAAGGTTCACAAAGTGCTGCGCCTGCCACGAAATCTGCACTTCAAGGTTCGCAAAGCGCTGTGCCTGCCACGAAATCAACACTTCGAGGTTGACAAAGCGCTGTGCCTGCCACCAAATCTACACTTCAAGGTTCACAAGGCGCTGTGCCTGCCACGAAATCTGCACTTCAAGGTTCACAAAGCGCTGTGCCTGCCACGAAATCAACACTTCGAGGTTCACAAAGCGCTGCGCCCGCCACGAAATCTGCACTTCAAGGTTCACAAAGTACTGTGCCTGCCACGAAATCTGCACTTAAAGGTTCACAAAGTGCTGCGCCTGCCACGAAACCAACACTTCGAGGTTCACAAAGCGCTGTACCTGCCACGAAATCTGCACTTCGAGGTTGAGAAAGAGCGCTGTGCCTGCCACGAAATCGGCAAACGAGCCACATGTCCAAAAGCTACGATTCACTGCGCCTGACAAGGTTTTGCATTTCGGGACAGGCACTATGTGATAGCAAACCTGGGACTCCAGCGCTTGAATTTCCACCTCTGAGTCCTGGATCTCGTCATTGTTTTCCGGTGGCGACCTTACAAGACAAGAGCTTAGAAGCGGAAGGCAACTGCAATCAAATATGTCCAATGCGCGCTGCTCACAAGAGTACACAATGTGATGGCAAAGCAAATCCGGAACACGCATTTGTGAAACTGGGGCTCTAGCGACTGAACCACCATCGGTGAATTGTCACTTTCCTCACTGGTTTTCTCTTGCGGAGGCCTTATAAAGACGAAAGCTTTGAAGCAAAGGGCGGCAACGGCAATCATTTGGACGACATAAAGTACTCAGCACGTTGCCTGCAAGATGCGGGACATTGATTGTGACCTACTATATAAATAGACAACATTTTGCAACAGTGATTTTTTAAAAATACAACTTGCGAACATCCTGAGGCTCCAGCATCTCCACTTGAGCTTCGGCCGTTCAGTCTGATTCTTGAGGCCTCAAGTGTGAAAGCACTAGAACGGGCAGCCTTTTGACGGGCTGTTGGCTGGCCTCAATCAAAGAAAGCAGCGGGTACCGGGTAGACGTAACAAACACAGAAACCAATACACAAGGGCTTGCGTTCGCTAGACGGCTCTTTTGGTGAGTCTTGAGCATTGTAAAAAAGAAGCCGGAAGCACGACAAAGCTACCATGAGCACGCAGGCCTTTGAAGGAGGCAGGAGAGGTAAAAGGCTTGAGTGCTCAGCGGCTGCAATGAGCAGGATTTCAACAAACGGCAAAAGAAATATAGCGGCCCTTACTATTTCAATTTTTTTGCAATTCCTAATTTGTGTAAAAATCTTCTGGGTTCCCCTGCGTTCGAACATCACATTGCCCAGGGCGGTCACGTCGTCTTGTCTGCACGTCGTTGGGTCGCCCCTCCCCAAAGCAACGCTCCAAAAACCCGTGGCTGGTGTTTTCTCGCAAACAACTCTACAAACGGCCGAATCCAATGGACACCAGGCGTGCATGGAAAGTGGAAAATCATGGAAAATTATACTGTATACTAGCGATGGGATCCAACCTAATAGCGATGGCCTTATATATGTATATACAAATACACACACGCCCAGCACCATGGGTCAATGATCTCAACCGTCAACAACTGTGGCTCACATGGACCCAACAAGAAAGGACCTGCAATACTTGTGCGTGTGTGCAAGAGCAATGCAGCCATAAGTGTGCGCTTGTGCGCGGCATTTTCTGAAATCCTGCCCGTCCACTCACATGTTAAAAGAGTTTGACAACTTTCAGCCTTCCAGCAATCGAATTTACAGTCAATGCGCATACCTCTGCTGCACCTACTATCTCTTGGGCTCTGCCTCCAAATTGAAAAGCCCACCGGAAAGCTGTTAGATTTCCCCCTCAACAAGAACAACGGTGTCAGTAGTTTGTAGTGTGTCTGAAATAAAGAATACGTAGGAATACTGCCCTACCACACTATTTAATAAACAAACTATTCAATATGTTTGAACGTATTGTTAATGAAAAGGACATTATTCGGTTATCACTTGGCTAGCGGCTATCACTTTTTCAGGACCTGGCCACACTTTCAGCATAGCTACTCATAATTGAACACATCCAAAAACGCAGCTACTTGGTTATCGCTTTTGACGGGGGCCTATCGATTTTGCAGGTTCTAGCACAATCCCTGATTTTCACGACCTGCTCTTTATTAAATTGGTCAACGCAGGAAACCTGGCTCTGGCTCATTCCTCTAGAGATGTTATGCGCTGGAATGCGCTCAACGTTCTTTTTGATCTTCTCCATCAATGCAGTGGCCAAGCTCGCTGGGCTCGCCGAGTGACTGCATCATCATGGACTTCACCCATCAAAATGGCCTCCAGAGGGACACAAAGCTTTTTTGAGAGGTATTGAGTCTTTGGAAAAAAAAGTATATTCCAGGATCTCAGTGACCAAAAAGACACTCTACTCCTTCCACTGGGACAGAAATTTCAAGAAGGCAGGCAAGGCACGCACATACCAGCAGAGGATGCCAAGGTTTCCAGCATCTCCTTCAGTGAGGCCTGAGGGAGAGACACCATGTCACTGGATCAATGTTTGATCAATCGAATTCTGACATATTCTGAATACTTCTGAGGGGTTTATACACAATACATACGAGTACATTGGTCACAAACATGGTTATACCCTTTCTTGGCTGCATGTTGTCTTGTCTGTCTACGCGTTCCAACGACGAAGACCCACCCACATCTGCTTCACTTGGCCATGCAAACAGCAGCTTGCCTCGTTCCGACACGTCCGTGCCCTTTGCGCATGACCCGAACAGTCTGCCCATCCAATGCCGACCTCTCGTGCAGTGGCCCCATGGCGCTGGAAGACCGCGAAGTCCTGTCCTTCCACCAGCGTCCGAACTGGAAGCGCTGCCTGGAAGAGAATGGCGCTCGGTTTCGGCGGGGATCGAATCCCTAAGAACCCGCTGGAAGAATGGCGCTGGAAGAGACGGCATCTGTTACGTGAGAATGCGTTTTGTGAGACTGCTCTAGGCTCTAAGTCACAAACAAATGCAGAAATTGTCAGCTAGTGTGGAGAAGAACAAAACATCCAAAGTTTGCTGTCCTAGTTCGCAAGAGGACAGAATTCCATCGCCAAACCTGCCAAGAATCCCTCCTTTCGAGCACAGTCACGAGAGCCCAGCTGAAAACTTTCAGTGCAGGGGCTACTCGTGGCTTCTTGTTACTAGCTAGTAAGGTGCCTTGCTACTAGTAGTAATGCCCTTGTTACTGAATGCAAGACCTATGGCTCCAGTAACGCATCATTTCCTCCGCTGTCGATTTCCAGGTGGTGCGAACTAACTACTGTCGGGCAGCAATTGCAGGCCAGTTAGGAGCTCAAACACCGTAAACAAACACCAAACCCTGTTTCGAAACACTGTTGCAAACCTTTCTCCGAATGACATCACTTGAACCTTCCAGGATTCTCACACCTCCGGTGTGAAGCTGCCGCGGCTGGTGCCAGGCGTTCCGCCAAAGGGGCAACCGGCCGCGCCGGTGTCGCAGCGCGTCGTCCGGCGCTCCTGGGTCTTCGCTGAGAGCGGCGGAAGAGATCGGATCCAACCTCCCCGTTCTTGAGGAAGTTCACACTTTTCCAAGGCTCACACTTGCGAGACCGACCTCTTTGTTCTTCTGGTATGATGCATCCAACTTACCTAATGAAGTTATGTGGAATACAATCCATGATAAACATGGGAGTAAGTAGACATTGTAGTCAGATGAAGTCGTTGTCTGCCCAACGCAAACGACTGGCATGTTGAGTTCGTAACAGATCCAAGCTGCCTGTGCGTGGTTGGTCCACACACACCAAAAATGAAGAACAGTCAGGGATTGGCACCCTAAGCGCACGAGCCATTGCATCGCACTATGGCAGATGGCAACAAGTGGACGAACCTCCCACCCTGGATGTCAAAGGTCGCTTTTGGAAATTCCTCCATTTCTTCCCCATCTCGTTGGCTTTGAGCGCCAGCCAGCCAGGTGCCCGCCATACCCGGCCTGATTCAGCGTCCAAACGGGGAAGAGGCCCAGTGCCAGGCGCAGGTGCCGGCGCAAGGCGCCCCACGCGGTCGCGGCCATTGGCGCGGTCGCGGTCACCGCGATGCGCAGTTGGATGGATCGAAAAGGTGTTTCCTTTGTGGAATCGGCTGGCATGGTCATGCAGACGAAAGAGGCAAATTTACAAGTGAAAAAGTAACATAACACATCCGCTATGCATGGAAGCGTCGACTTTATCAACCAGTGGTTCCACTATTGATGATGATTGGACCACTGGAATCTCTTTGCGCTATTGAAGAGTTGCATGCCCGCAAGGCAGAGACTATCAATGTGCAAGCTGAGTCACAGACCCTGCGCAAGCAGTGGCGGAAGTAGCTGTATTTTGCTTCAACACGACAAACACTGAACAACCACTGACCAGAACGAACCACGCATTGACCGAACCAAGATTAGGCCGTTGACCATTACAATATTAATGTTTATCATGAGGACACTCATGATGACGTTACTGTCTGTAGACCGTCATATATAAACTACCAGTCTATATATATATATACGACATGACTGACTAGCTTCCAAAACTTGCCGTGCTTCCCTTTGCCTTCGCCCTCTTGGATGAGCTTCCTTGAGCGCTTTCACTGCCACCCATCTGTGGTTCTGGAGCCAACTGCTGAAGCGAAAACTGACGGGACCACAGCGTCCGAGTCGCTCGCATCGCTCGTGTCAAAGAAGGCGGTGCAGCTTCTCGTCTTGTGACATCTGTCTGTGTCGGACATCTTCGGACGATTCTGAACCGGAGTCGATAAGTAGGTACAGTATGCGTTCCATTATATACATGGAGTGAGTCTCTGGGTCTTTTGTGTTCACTGGGGTCATGCCATCATAGATATGCCCAAACTATCCCCAACATACCCCAAACAGCTTCAACTACGACAAGACAGAAAGAGCCTGCAAAAACGGGGTTTCCCATCGCCAAGAAATTTCCTTCAACCAGTGGCGATGAACACACCCGGTGAACGCATTCCAGCCTGGCGTCCGCAGCTCCAGCCGCGATCGAGCTCCTAGGAAAACCAACATTTACAACGGTACAGTATTGGTCCTGTCCCAAACAAAGAGGTGTGCTTCATGTTGCTGTTCAAACATCGAATCAAAACACCTGCAAAAAGACATAAACACCATATAAATCACGATGAATTGGGTCTGGGTGGGACATGGGTTGTTTGTTCTGTCTCCCCTCGAGACTGAGACTCCGCCTGTAGGCTGGCAGGATCTTGGACCGGATCAAAGGCATATGAAGGATCTCTTTCAGCGACGGCCTGGCCAAGGACTGGACTGCGACGTCCGTTTTGTGCGGATCTACGGAGCCCCACAAGGATATGGTTTCACCAAGGTGAAACGGACGTGACGTGCCTTGAAACGTGGCACAACACCGTTGCCGTTGGAGCAACTTCCGGCCGAGAGGTTTCTCTTCAACGGATCCTTGAAAGTAAAACTGGCAAAAAACTCCTGAGGAGTCTAATCGTTGAATGTGAAATCAATCCAGTGATGTCGACACCAGCACAAAACACATCCAGTGACCTGCCTGTGGCTGGGATTTTTCGTTAACATCGCCTGGATCAGCTGCTTGGTGCTTTGACTGCAACCTGCACGGGTCAGCGCAGCTAGTTCAGCGCGCTGGTCAGCGCGCTGCGGAACGTGGTGCAGCTTGACTCCAAGACATCCACAGTCATCCGGTGGAAAAAGACCCAGCACCGTAGCGCAGGGCATGGACCTCTAGGGGGCTTTCCCATGCAGACCAGGTGAGGATTTCCACCCCGTTTCATTTGTTCGGACAATGGTTCACCAACGACCGGAGGCCGTTGGCTTCCGGGACTGCAATGGTGGTTGTTTTTTGTCCTGCGGGCGTTGCGGGTGTTGCGGGACCGCAGCGGGTGTAGCGTGAAGGGTCGACATGAAAAACATGCTGACCTTTGTGGTCTCACTATGTCTCCCATGTGGTGCACAACATCGACCTGTATGGCCACCGTCTCGTTAGACAGACTCGTAGAGGCTATGTTTCCGATGTCTTCTTGCACAATAATGTGCTTGTACCATTGCTTTGCGGTAGACATGCTATTTTGGTCCTTGACCTTGTATAGTCAGTTTTGTAAGTTATCTAGCCTCTATTATAGACCATGTTTGTACAGGGTGAATCCAGTGGGTCCTTCCGTGTGTCCACCTTGGTGGACGGCATCCCTGACGCTTTCACGGTTAATTTGATACCAATTTTATTGATAGGTGTGGGGATGTGTGGGGTACCCGTTGACCTACGTGCTGTTGAGCCTTGAGCTCGTGGGAATTCAAGGCTTTGTTCGCCATGATGGGGTCTACGAGATGGCGAAAAAGTCGTCTCCGCCAGGGCTCCAGGTCGTCTACACTTCTTTGCTTTTCTTTGTGGAGTTGTGGAGTTTATGCTTCACTACTCCTCCTCAAGACCCAATTTTCCGGGACCGCAATGGCTTCCACTGTTCCTTCCGGTGTTGTTCTGTCCTGCAGGTGTTGCGGTCGGCTGTTTACAGTCACAGGAAGCTCAATGGTTTTGGGGGCCTTCAGGTCAAAAACGTTTTGCAGAAAAAAAGAAAGAAAACAACGTGGATTCCACCCGATTGGAAACATAGTTTTCTTCTTTTCAGAGTAGAGCAACTGCTCGGCGCATCCGATTGGAAGGAAAAATGAAAAACCATGCATGTACCCACATCTCACACACAGAAATCCAAAGCCAGCACGACACTTCATCTCCGCTCCTTTCCGCCCATCTCGCACTCGTTTGCCAGCTTGGTGCTGGGTATCCGTGCTGGCTGAGATGGGCGTGTAGCTGCCCTTGATGATCTTTAAAGCCAGTCCTGGCGAATTGTTTTCTGCCAGGACCTGTCAGAGTTCTTTCTCTTTCGACACGTGCCATGAGACTGTCTTTTGATGCCGCCCCAACAACTCATTGCTTTGCTACTCGTGCAAAGGTCCTGTTCTTCGAATTCGCTTCTCTCCTGTTATAATTCAAAAAGAAGCTCCACGAAAAACGCTTTCCCACTCGACGTGAGAACCTCTTCCATGTCAGCTTTCCATTGTTCCCTGACCGGACTCGACGTCGACGGCCATCCCTGCCGCGACGTGGAACCGAAACCTGGGTCCCCCGCCGTTCAAGCTCTGGGCATCGAAGGCCTCGCCCGCTCTCCACGGGTGGTGCACGGTGGGACCTGTTTTTTGTTCACTTCATATATGGTCTACTTACTAGCCTGCATATTTTTATATATAGGATGCTATGAAGGCTATAACACATTCATCCTCCTTTGGCCACTATTAAATTCAATTATATAGATATTTCGTGATATGTCCCTTGTCGGTTTGGAATAGAGGTTTCTCATTCACAACTCAATTGGACTGCTCGACCCAAATGAAGCCGTCAACAGTTTCCTCCCGGGGAACACTTTATGACATGGTTGACCTTCTGATGTAAATCTGCATGTTGAATTGCAGGTGTTTGTTTCCTGGTCTGAGTCAAGCTTGACCTACATAAACTCTTTCTGTAAAGAGCAACAGTTAACCTTCAAGAACTATGCATGGCACTTCGCAGGAAGCTCGCTTTTGCCACTGTAGCCCGTGCGTGTGCGAAAAGCTTTGCACAAATCATCGCAATATGGGATATTCATGATTGATATCGCTTTTGCGCTTTCGGACAAGGATTGCTATGCACGCCTTTTGGCAGGTTGTCCTGCAAGAATATCCAGAAAGCATTAGGTTCCTTTTCCATTGGTCTTTCATGTTGTATTTCCATGCACATTATGTCCTTTTATTTGGGGTAGGCTTTATGAGGCGACCAGGCACGTTAGTCTGTCAATTGATGCCTGACAACAAACATCCAGCACCATCCAAGCTGGTGCGGACAACTGGGACATTGGAAGAGACAATGTGTTGATGGGAGCAAAGTGGTTCAACATCCAACACATACACATGCACGTGCATAATATCTGTTCTCACCATTTATAGAAATCACCTCCACCCACATCCATGACATCAATGAGCTTCCCGACTCGATGACCATTCACGATCTCATACAAGACGCAGCCCAAGCCCCATACATCACCTCAGGCTTGGACGGCGCAACCGACACCGACCGGGCGGTCGGTCGCCCGGTCGGATTGACCGGGGCAACCTGAGTCAATCCACAGTCGTCCTGGCAACCTCTGAGCTGGGTAGGGAGAAAGCATAGGAACACCGAGGATCCAAATTCTGCTCCACAACTCGCATCCACTTCTGCTGATTTCGGCTGTATGCCTTACGGAGGAGGTGCTTTCTGTAAGTGCCAGGCTTCAACCCCCTACAAAAGCAACCAATTAGTGGAAAAGAAGAGAAGTAAAAAGAAGCTCCTGGAATTCCCGACAAACAGTTTACTCTAAAAGAGCTGCTGCAGGCACCTGATATTGCTGTACAGAATTTAACAACGCTCATGAGAAAATCAGATCCAATCTTCTCTGGGAAGCCGGGGTGTCAGGAGGTCTGCGCGGAGCGTGCTTTACCAAAAAGCAACGTAGTGTCTGGTCAATGCGCTGAGATCTCAATTCTCGACCGGTGCTTCAAAGCGAGAAACAAAGGAGTGACCCTCCAACATTTGCCTTCCAGAAGTAGGGAAACGGGGCTGACGGAAGAATATAGACTTTACCTGTACCGGTTGGTTGGGCTTCAATGATTGAAATACACAGCTGACAGGCAGGTTCTGTCGCATCAATTGGTTCATGAAAGAGCTCTTTCGCTCTCTGGACATCCGCCAGAACACCTGGCTCTGTTTGGGCTATCCGGCTATCCAAATCTTGCTTCCAACTCCAGCCTTCATGGTGGGAACTCCTGGAGTTCTCCTCTGGGTCTATGGCCAATTTCAGACGTGCTGCGGTTCACCGAAGGTGCTCGAAAAAACACTTCCGCACATCTCTCGAACTTCTCGCTCGACTTCCAGGAGTTCCATGTCGGAATGGTGTGGCTCGTCCCATCCAGTGGGTGGATGTGAGGGATGGGCACCCCCTGTCAACCGCCGAACTCAGCAGCCGGCACTCAACTCCATGGAACTGGTAAGATGTACAAGAAGCTACCAACGGAGCAAAGGGCATCAATACTAGGGGCTCCTGGCCTTACTACTAGTAGCCCGTGTACACCCAAACTTCCCCCTTCTCGTTTCGACGTCAACCCGGGTGGCCGCATCGACTAGACAGTCGACCACCCATCGAAATCGGTGTCTCCACCTGCCAACTGTGCTCCTAAGGCATCTGAGCTCCAGTGCTCTTGTAGCTGTAGGGATGGCTATTGATGAGCTCCTCAGGATCCATCGGAATGGTCAGTACGGACCGGAGTTCTTCATGCACATGCACAAAGTCTCAGGTTTTCAGGACCAGAATTTTACTGATACTTACTGGGTCAGACTGGATCTACAAGGACGAAAGAACCAGGAAGATGGAATCACATATCATATGACAAAGGTTTCCTGAACAAGTTTCTGCAAGTGTCTGCTTGATACGCCAAGTGCTACCATGTGCCTTGATACGCCCTATGTGCCTTGATGACTTTGGTGGGGCGAAATCGAACGACTTCTCGGCTTCTCGCTGGAGACATGTAGAAGGGCGTTCCAATCTGCCTCGGAAGGTGGACGACGGAAGTTTGAGGTGTGGATTGTATGGTCAATTTCAGCACCTCCTCACGAAATGGGGACTGCTTTGGGATGTATAGAAGTGCGCCATGTCAAAGTACGAAGCCATGTGCGATTTTTTTGTCTGAGCCCGGAGCCCCCAAACAAGTTATTGATTCTTGGTCAGCACTGTACCGCTTGGTGAGGTTCCCCTGTGAGGCTGTATTTTGACCCTTAGGAGAGCTTTGTCCAGAACCAACCCAGATTCTTGAAATGTGTATCAGAAAGACAGAAGTTGCCATGCATCTCTCAAAGGATCATGGGCAGCATCCGACTCACCCAGAATTTATTCTGCATTCGTGAGCAGCTGCCCTACGAGATCAAAAGCTCTTATCTGTGACTACCAGCATCCAACCCAAATAGCGATGGCCTCCAGCCTACTAGCGATGGCACCATCCAAGGAGTGTCCAAAAGACTACCCCACACTACTATTATAGGCTTCCAGGCCCAACCACCCCAAACGGATGGTCCGACCTGGTCCCTCCGTCGCTCTCTGGCACCAACGGGCGACGAAGCACTTGAAATACCATGAGCTCCAAACGTTTTAGCCAGGTCCGCGGTGGAAGACAGGACCTCCGCAGTAGTGCTCGGCCAACGAACCCAACGACCGACAAATCCCTCCGGGTCGTGCGAAGACAGGGCCTGGCGGCCTGGCCATCTCTTTGGCTTGGGAATCCAAGTAACTATACTCTTGCCTGCTTGGTTTTGTCTGAAGAGAAAGGCTTCCCGACTGCTCCTTGGTACTCCGAAGGTAGATTGAAAGTCAATGGAGACTGCAAGGCTTCTCCCCTGTGTTCTTTTTCACCCACGTCTCGGGTCAATTAGGAGGTTCTACAGAGCCCTACCCAAGAGGGCTGCAAAGGGCTATGGCAGTATAACACCAACTTGGTTGATACTTCTTCGATTCTTCGGTTGAAAATGAATGTGTTGAACCCCCCGAAAAAGAACACGTCCTTTTTGGTCTTCAGACTCTTGTTGAAAATCTTTTGATCTTCGGATCGTTCTTTCTTTTGAGATATTGTGTTTTTCCTCGGGAGTCGCAAGCGACTCCCCTGCGCCCGGCCCACCTTAGCCACTCCAAAGTCGCCGAGCTTGGCGGCCAAAGGAGGCCTCCAAAACCGGCAGGTGGCAGGTGGTGGGGCGGGCATGCCCGCGGTGGACATGGGGCGGTCAGCCAAGGGTGGAAGACATGAACACAGAGGCTAAATGATGGTTACCTAGATGAACAGATTAAATGAAAACTAGGTAACCGCCATTAATAGCATGTAACAGCTGTTAAGTCACGTTCAGTCTGTATCTGTTCATGTATACAGCTGTTCCGTGAAGAGTGAAGACAATGAATATGGTTCAGTGTTACTGCAAACTGTTGAGGTCCTCAAGTCCCGTCCCACTCGGGAAGAGCATGTCCTTCCTCATAGCTTCCATTGCCATGTCATTCTATCGCTTCATTTTGGGTCGTCCCCCTGCAAAATTGTGACAGTTGTGGGACAAAAAAAGCAAGTTGGCCGTGATCCAATCGACACACCAAAGTTAATTGAACAACATTATATATACAAAATATAACAGCAACAACAGCAGTCTCTCCCACCAAACGGGCCCTTTTTATAAAGCACTCATGAGAACCGTCTGTCCCACTGACTGATGAGAACCCCGTCTGTCATCCCCGACATCATGGAACGTCCTCACATCTGCGGGCCGCACCGACTCCCGGCCAGGAAGATATTCTGGGTCTTCAAGTCACGATGCCTTCGGTTGGAGCGAAACAGCACACCACGGTCGCGGTGTGCTTTTTCCCCACTCGGCCCGCTGGGGCTGGGAAAGAAATCGGTGCATCTGCCTCCTTGATCAGAAGTGGGTATTCAATGGCCTGGTGAAGTTCTTCCTTCTACGGTTTTCAGTAGTGCCGTAGACAATGGGCCTGATGAATTGGCTAATATGTCAACTTGAATGAAAGTTCTACCTGACCAAACAACTGCGACACACACGCACACACACATGAGATAATGCTACGTGTGTCACACTTTTCTCAACGGAATACATCTTTGTGCTGTAAAGAATCAACTCCAAAGAGGCAGAAGGGACTTCAAAGGATCATGCAATTGGTTTTGGCTAAGCTCTCGGAGATGGGATTTTGGAGCCTCATCCTCCCTTTAGAACTTCGGACTCCCACCAGCTCTTCTTCTGCTGACTCATGGCAGAATCCCTCAAAGAGTTGCCATTTTCCTGTCGGATCCCTGTATGGTGGAGGTGCAACAAAAATCTACAACATCAGGGCCCCAGGTCCCACGTCTTTAAGGAACAAATGAGGACTCCAGGAGGACTCCGGGAGGACTCTGGGATGACCGTGCTTCTATGTTTTTGCCGAGGGGTCCCATGTTTCGCTCCGAACCTTGCTCGCCACTCGTTCTTGCTTTGTTCAGTGTGGGTTCCTACTCATGGCATCTCATGGCTGCTCATGCCATCAACCAGTTGTGACCAGGGTGACCCGAACCCCAAAAACAACACATCCACGAAAGCCGACCAAATGGACGAGGATGATCCGGTTCTTAAAACGAGAGTCAAAGTTCTGGTCAATATCAAGTTGATGGCTGATGCGCAAGTGAGTTAAGCCAAACCTCCAACGACCCCACAGCTTGAGCCCCTCACAGGATCTTCTGCTGATGCAGCGATTGCAGCGCCTGGCCGGTGGTGCAAGGATGGATGAAACGACACAGGAGTCTTCCTCCAGGAGGTCCGGCAGCAGTGTCCACTACAGGTCCGGTCTCCCATTTCTGACGGCTTTTCTTGATGCAACTGAAGCCTATCATGCCGACGATTTCAAGGCCCAAGGGTCTAGAATCCAGAATGCCAACAAAGAGTGTTGATCCCAAACAAGTGTGAACCTACAAGGGACAACTCTCAGAGCTCAAAGAGACCCTCACAACAGAGCATGTTGTTTAACAGTTGAATGTTCACTATGCATTGACTGTTCACTAGCTTTCTGCAATGATTTTCTGGATGCAGCGGACGGTCCATCCCATTGGATTTCAGCCTGGACTCCCATCCCCTGGCGTGCCCAAACAATCTCAGTGAACCATTCCAAGAGCTGCGACTCGTGTGGTATCTGCCTGGGAAATGTTGCTCCAGGCATCTGAGTTCAAGGTGTGTTTCTGAAAACGGCAGCTAGCTACTTAACGTGAAAAGCCGAGGCACCCAAAGAAACCTGCACGATCCTGCACGTGTTTCACTGCAAAATACTAGGGCTTTGGAGCATGCGCCTGACCCTGACCCCTGGTGCAGGACTTGTTTCTCCACTTCCCTCAAGCTGCAGAATCTGCTAGACTTTGCAGTTTGCTGATCTTCCCACTACTGACCAGCAGCATGTTCGACTACGGACGATACCGAATGCCAAGTCTACTCGAAGTAGTCTAGGCTGTATGAACCTGCCACCTGTATACATGTCTCAGTTGCTGTATGGCGGAACAACAATGAGACGAGCAACGACCTACATGCAGCGCTATGCTCTTGGGAAAACATGGGAAAACGCTCCAGGAAGGAAGACGCCAGGATGAAGTCCGCTGGTGAACTACTTGGCAACAAGGAAGGACAACAAGAAATGAAAGCTGGTGTGACATCTTCACACCCTCAGAGGTACATCTTCAATTTGAAGAATCACAACCAGCCACCGACCAAAGAACCTGTGTTGCCGCCTAAAAGCAAGCAAATGGGGTGCTGGCATGTCCATGTCCTGCTATGTGTCACACTGCACAGTGGTTTCGATGGTCCATGTACTCCAAGAAGCACCAAGCACACGTATCAGACTGATCATAGCAGATCAGTCCTTTGAATGATCAGTCCTTTGAATCCTTCACTCCTGTTGTTTGTGTCTAACAAACGGCTCGGGCGCCCTTCTTACCCTGACGCTTCCCTCCTAAAACCGGTAGCCATCCCATGGCCCCCCCGCGTTGGGAGCCCCCCACGTGCGACGCAAGTCCTGCAGGTGGGTAAAGATGTCCCCATGCCTCGGGCCGCCGCGCGCTACACCGCCGGAAGGTGGGACATGGAGAAGGTCGGGAGCCAACACCGGGTTTTCAGGTGCAGAAGAGGTGCAAAAAAAATGTGCAGAACATGTGCTTTGAGCCGAAGCTCAGAGCAAAGTAGACCACACGATGCAGTCCCCTGCGTCTTCGAGTGGTTCGCTGCGAAACAAGTTGGGTCAATATATAATGGCGGTCAATAGAATATCATCAATCACAGGTACCCAAAAGACACTTACCCGGCTTCCGTGGTCAAGCTACGCGCCCAAACAGCAACATCGATCAACATTGTTTGTGTTTTGGTCGCCATCTGTCACCAACACGTGGTAGCGAAGACCACACTTTGTCGCACGTGGCTCTGTCGAGACGTTTCTTCGGACGGCGAAAAAGAAAGACCGAGTGAAGGGGCTCGCAGTACTCCATCAATATGCAAAGGTGCCCGGAACGATCCTTGGAGAGACTCGGCAGCCGTGGACGCTTTTGCTGGACGGAAAACCCCGCTGGATGACCCCCGCTACAACGTGTTCGAGCGAGCTTGGCGACGTGTTCGGTCGTTGGACGCCACCGGTGGAGTCGAGTGTCTTGGTTCGCGGAAAGTTCATGGAGGGCCCTCAATGGGTGTTTATGCATCCTGCAAAAATACGGATTCCAGTTCAACTATCCAAGCTATGGTATGCTATGGTTATGTTTGCCCTATGTTCACTACCAAATCTTGGAGATGTGTCCACGTTGTCAATCACGGGGGGGCATTTTTTTGAAAGAAACCAAACACCAAGCCGCTGTATCAGCTATTCACCCCCCTTTAGACCACTTGGGGCAGCGTAGATCTCCCGCTACGACGTACACCAATCAGTTGTGCAGTCAGATGGATTCTTTTCAAACACATGTCAAGAACTTCTGCAGAGTTAAGGAGACTGGTGCCACCCAAGAAGACTGGTGCCTTACTTGGTGCCTTGGGGCCCCAACTTGGGGCACATTGCCGCCATACATTCTTCGTTCTTCGTTGGCGCACCCGTTGGGCCAAAGCCTTGAGGCCCTTTCAATCCATCGTTTGGGCTTGGACGGAACTCCGATTCGACTGGTTTTTGTGATCCAAAAAGAACGAGGTCGCTATGCACATTCGGATGGTTGAAACGGGGTTATACGGGTTATAGGCCAGATGTTCCAGTCTTCAGAGTGTCTGGAATCAAAAAAGCGCCTTGAGTTGCGCCATGGCGAACAAGAGATGGACTCTTCCGCGCAAGTCCCGGTTGTCTTCCCCCTTTTTTCATCGCCTGGTCGAACGGTTCACGGTTGTCTTCCCGCGTGTCATCGGTGTCACAACACGTGTCACAAGCGCATCGGTGTCACGGTTGCCCTTCCTGGCCAGGCTCGATAAAGGAATCGCGATAAGCCACGATGTTTGGATGCTGCATGGTCCGTAGCCTCAGAGCACAGCCAGGATGTGAACCGAGTTATGATTTCTATCAGGACAAAATGTTGTAATGGTTCTTGTGGGTTGACATTTTAATAAGGAGACACCCTTGGCCGAATATTGCTTTCCTTCTTCCTAGCGGGGTCAAAACGAGGTCGTCTCCCAATTTTAAATTCTTACACATCCACTACATCAACCCACAGCTACCAAATCCAAACGAATTGGCACAGTAGGACCTACATTCGGACGAATTGGCTGCAACGATTGGTCCGTAAACAAAAAAAGCACTGCCGGATTAAGTCGCAGGCAGCTGGACCTGGCGAAGGTCGAGGAACACTTGCAGGTGGGATGCTGGTTTACCACTCCCCAACCTGACAGCATCACTAAAAAACAACGATCCTCCAAGCTGATTGTATAGATTAGAGGAACAGAATCAGTTGTCCTTTTCCATTGGAATTCTTAGGTGTCTCACTCTGCCGCGCACATGGCCCAGCATATCCTCAAATTTTACCCTTAAACTGGAATGAACAGGTCCAAGATGTACTCCCCATGGAAGCAATGGGGGTCGCAAGTGTCCTCCAGGAACTGCTTCAACGCACCTGTTTCCCCTGCTGATTCAGAGTAATAAGCCACAGCGATGGTACCAAGGCTACTACTATGTATACAGTCATCTCCTCCAATTAGTCGAATAGGCCAAATTTGTTCGTTTTGATTCGGGTATGCAGTATGCTTGATATTTAATATTCTATCATAATCTATCTGCGTAGTATGTTGGAATGATTCCATCGTCGCTACCCATCGTCCTCAGAACCCCCGGTGTGCCTCCAGTTCCATCTGCTGACGCCCTTCATCCGATGCCTGGACAATCCACGTGTGGCTGTGATTGAGAAGATTCGACTGCCTGAGATGAGACCTTTGGAATGCTCCTCTGCTTGCAGAATTGGATTCTATTTCGCAATGGCCTGATCCAGATCCAGAAAAGGAGGTGCTGCAGATCCAATACATGCTCTGGGCGATTGTCAGTGGTCTCTGGGCGTCTCTTGTCACTACTCTTTAAGAAGAGGAGCTACTCTGGTTCACCGGGTCGCGCTGGCATCTTGTTGCCAAACATGTCGTGCGATGCGGACGTGACGGAGCCGTTGAACTCAATAGGAAGTCCGGTGGAAAAAGGAAGGGATATTGAAATGCCCTTGTCACTAGTAGTTTCTTGTTAATAGTAGTAATGGCCTCCAACCTAATAGCGATGGCCCTCCACCCTAGTAGCTTCTTGTTCCTAGTGGGATGGTTTTGAGGGGATGTGTATGCTGCAAAGCCTGTTCTCCTGCTTTTTGTCCGAGTTCCCCACGTGTCGCATGCGTGTCAATTCTGTTAGACCGAGAGGAAATGAGGCTCACGAGTTTGAAGGGGTAATCTGGGAACCGAACGGAAAACCCATAGGTAATAACCAACCAAGCTTGCACTCCGTATGCAATGTTATTGATATCAACTGATATCATGTGCGATCAAGAACTTCTGACATCAAGCTTTCAACATCTTCGTTCCGCATCTTCGTTCGGAGCCCCCCGCCGTTTGCAGCTCGATGCTCTTCAGGACGTACTCCCGCTGCTCCTGACGGACGCAGGCTGCAGCGGTGAGCCAACAAACTTCACACACCTGAAACATAGAAGAGCAAGAATGCCAACTCTGACTCTGCTATACTCTGCGACCGGAAAGTAGGGAGTTGAAAAGGTCGTCATGTTCTTTTCAATGAAGTCCAATAGTGGCCAAGCGCAACTCAACATACCACGCCAACGTTTGCCGTGAAACTCATTCCTCGAACACTATAATGATGTTCATGGAATAGGACTTCGTATGTTCTTTACAGCACTGTGACGACGCGCGGACGTCGTTGGATCACGTTTGGATCGCCTCTTTGTGAAGGACCAAGAAGACTTGACCGAAGGACCCACTGCCAATAGAGCGCTGCAGCTGATACTCATCCTCACAAGTGGCGCATGTCCGCAGATGATCCCAGTTGAAGAACTTCTTGGCGTTTAGGGCTGACTTTTGGACCATTCGCTAAACAATCCAGGTGACTTTGGCAGTTGACAAAACCAGTTGACTTTGAACCAGTTGACCAAACCTATGGCAAAAATTTCCGCGAAAGAATCCAGGTGACTTCGGCATGGTTCGATCTATGAACCAGATCCAAATGTATCTTCATGATACTTCTGTTCATGCAGCATCCAGTCGTTGACCCATGGTTTTCTAGATCTTCAAGTCTGGTACCGTTTCGACTAAGTCGTCCTCCCAGGAAAGGCCAGGCAGCTGCGTGTGGGAGAGGCCCTGAGAGGCGGAGAAAAAAACCAACCGGTTTCGGCATAGCAAAAAGGCCAAGCAGTCTGTTGTCAACTTTGACCTCCCACTGGTTGTTTGAAGAACCAAATACTCGTGCCCATCTCACAAGCACGGCGCTTCCACCATCATGCTGAAAGAAGCAGAGCCATGACTGAGGATGAGAGTCGCAACCGTTTCTACCTGCTGAGAGAGTCGCATTGGCTGAACATCGTCTCGACTCTCTCCCGTGCGAACTCACAAGAACCGAGTGACGGGAGCGATGAACTTGATCTGGGGTCAATACCGACCACCAAACGAAAAGGACACCCATCATGGTTCGCCAAATGTGAAGATGTTGCTAGAGAGAAGCAAGTTCTCCAGGGGCACTACGTCGTCAATGGCAGGTCTTTCAACCTGTTTCTACTGCAATACAGTGAAGTAGAGAATATCTTCTCCAGCTGTCACTTCACTCCACATGAACTGAATGTAATGTCAATGATCTTTGACTAACAGCTTTCAGGTGCTGCCCCCTGCACAGTTTATGCGTTCCGGCCTCCCACATCTGCTGAGCTGGGACTAAGCCCACCTTAGTCTCACTCAAACTCAGGGGACTAAACGGCGGATGATGCCATGCTCTCTATCTATTTTCCAGAGTGTTCAGTTGTACCCCTATTGGGATTCTTGGCACTTGTTGTCCGACACTCTTTAGCATGAATAGTCACACCCGCGTATCTTTTGGGGGGCCAAGCCTGACATGTAAGTAAGGGCGGTCCAAGCTTGTAGATAAAGGAAATAACTGTATGTTTGTTTGAACATGATGTGTCCTTAATATGAATCCATGGTCTCTTATCAACATATATATGTGAAGCAAGAGAAATAAATAGAATACTAAGACTATGCCACATTATTGATGTTATCGTTCCACCTTTAATCTATCTAATGATTTACTATTCAATTACAATTATAGCATATGGTCCACAAATAAAGCAAAAGAAATGACGAAGAGCATTTGTGGGCCATCAATCTATAACATGTGATTCTACTTTTGTTTGTTTCATTAATGTTGAGCCTGTGAATCAGCGAAAAACAACTGCAATCAGTCGAGGCCCCCTGCTGGGAGCTCACTCAGCGACAGGCCTAGCGAGTTGAACCACAGGCCGCTTCGGAGCTATCTCCAGCAGCACGAACAAACAGGGAAGGACTCTGTTTGAATTCTCCACACCCACCTGTCGATTGCTGTATCGCCATATCTCCAAACGGTGCACAAACATCAGGAACCATGGCCTCGCAGCCTTCGTTTCGGGGCCTCCCTACGGTGCTTCTCGCGCCTTTCTTACGGAGCGCGACCGGGGCGACCAACGGTTCCCACCGGATCCGTCGGTCACAGAATCACACGTCGTTCGCGCCTGTCGCCACTTGGATCCCACCTGCGCAGCTCCAGCTTCGGTCTGGACCCTGTCCCCTGTGGAACCCTGAGTTTTTCCTCTTAAAAGTCACACCAAGATCTTCCAAAGTAGGTTTGCGGAGGCCGTTTTGGACCACCAACGGCCGCAGGCGATCGGTCGCCGAGCCAGGACGTCGGTCCACCGGCGGCGCATCGGATCGGATCGTGCGAGGCGCGAGGCCAGCCCCGTTCGTAGCTGGAGATGGTGAGGTCCAAATCCACCCTGCGTGGCACCTCCATCCTGCGTGCTTCTCACCCATAGCAGCGGTGGATTTTCCGACAGTCAGATCCAAACTGTGGCTGGCATGAGGTGGGGGTCTGCTAGAGAGGTCCCTGTTGAGGGCACACTCCGTGTTTTTCCTGGTGGGGTTCATTATTCTGGAATAAGAAGGCCTTGGTCAATATCAAGCCTCATGTCTGCTCGAGGGTCGCTCGATTCTGGTATGAGTCCTTTTTTGGCCGGCTGAGGATGCCACTATGACAGCTGAAGAGCAGAAGGATGTGGAAAGAAATCACAGCCCACATGAACAACCAAGAAGACTTGAGATGTGCGCGCGAGGCGTGCAAGTGGAAAGCTGCTGGAACAACTTGACAGCTCGGCTGGAGGATCCTCACTTGTCTCGGTCGGAGTTCAAAGCCATGCATTGCTGAAGAACTCTATGACACAGTCAAACAGCCACTGCGTCAAGCGTACCACGAACTACCTATAATTAAGTAGCGCGATCCACCTGAAGAAGTGGGTGTCTTGCATACCTTGGGGTTTTCTTGGACACCAACCATCTGTTGATCGCTCAAGATTCCTTCCTTGTAAAATTCTCGTCCTGTTCCACTCGAAATCTGCAGAACTGGTGGATCGGTCACTACAGAACCCACATGAACCCACTGGGTCTCAACTGGTACGTCGCTGTTGTGTTCTCTAACTGGAGACTTGGAGTTGCCACTGGCGAGACTCGGAGTTGGAACCACTGGTGAGCTTGAAGCAAAAAGGACTCTCTTTCCTCTTGGGGTAGCGGCGAATTCGCAACTTTCTAGTAACTTTCTACACTCCCTGAAATCATGGAAGTGAATGGCATGGGCCCCTTGAATGACCATATCCAAAAGGCAGTTCTCCACTTCCATATGGATTATTTCAGGGAGTGTAATGTTGGTTTCTTTCAAGAAGGGCAAGATCCCGCCATTGAAGAGGGCCATGGTAGCGACAGCAACTCCTTTTCGAGGCTATTCGGGCGCCGGCGATATAAGCACTCAGATGGGCATGCCACACGTGGTGAAGTCAAGACCCAAGAAAAGATCGCAAAAAGACACAACAGGATGTTGAAAATTGTAATAAGCCGTGGAGCTCATGCCCCAGCCTGCATAACTATGGCGTTCTCAAGCCCATAGAGCCTTTTGTTGCGAAACAACTTAGAAAGAAAGGCAGACATGTTTTGTCAAAAAAAAAAAGCACCGGAGGCGGGAGGCAAATTTCAAAGCATTGAAGATCATTTGTTCGATTCCGATCATTTGTTTGATTTCGACAGCTGAAACCTAACACTGCCAGACCCTTTCGCAAAGCACGGCAAGTATAATATGATGGGCTTATATAACTGAATGGCAAATGAAGCCAGAACGTGAGGTTAAACATAATTCATCAGAATCAGAATCTTCGACGGTGTAGAAGTAAACAAAAGGAACTCACACTTGAGAACCTTTCCTTCGGTCCGATGAACGCTCCACGCGTTACAGCAAGCACCCATGCAAGCGACGCGTCTGACCCGCGTGTTCGCCCCAGCATGCCAGCTTCCCGTGATCGTTGACATCTTCAAAAGGGGATCTCCGTCTGCAAAGCATCTTCAGGAGCTCCGAGTTTCTGTCTTCAACGAAAAGGAGTTCCGAGAAAAGCTGAGGGCTCCAACCCCATGAGACGTGTCACCGGGTTTGGTGCACTGTGGTGCACTGGTTTTTGTGAACTGAACTGGTTTTTGTGAACATGCCATGACCTAAGCAAATGCTTAGAACCCAAGCAAACACAAGAGCTTCTCATTATATGGAAAAGCATCTCCTGCAACCGGTACCCTCACAAACAACCTCTCTTCAACTGGAAGATTTAGGATCTGTTCAATTCAAACACCTCTAAAAGTATGAGTCCAGTAACCTTTGCTTGCGCCAAGGTTTCTCATCTCTTCAACCGACCCCCATCATTGCCCGCGACAAGCTCCGTCGCGAGAGAAGCCGCACGCATCCGCGCAGCCGCGTTGTGGCTCATGCTACCCAAAACTCCGGCCTGGGCGTGCTTTTTGAAGGCCCACTTGCCTACTGAAACCTGAAACATCACGAAACCGGCACTCTCACATGGGTAACTGATTGACCTCAACCAAGTCGTGGACTTGTGCAAGGATTTAATCAAGAACTGATTGGGGTGGCAAAGAAAGGACAATAGAGTCAATGGAGGGCAAAATGCAGCAATGGCAAAAATTGGACTTGACATGGACTTGAAAATAGACCCCAAGAAACGAAGCAATTTGGCCCAACACGCTGGCAGGTTCATGCCAGAGCTGACATCCACAAAAGGTCTGTATAGAAAGGTGATGATGTTCGGAGCAGATTCAAAGCCGTTCGACCGTGGGTCAAAAAAGTCAAAATGAACAGATCTGCGGAAACACCCAAGCACATCGACCACTGGGCATTCCAAACCATTGCAGACAAATATTTAAAGGATCTGATCTCAATACCGAGATGCATCTCTACGGTTTAAGTGAGAAACAGTAATAAGACTAAGACTCTGAAATACACACAAAACACACACCCCTACACCTACACCTACACCTCTCCTTCGTCTTCCCAACCCTTTCCAACAATGAGCTCTTCCGACATGTCGCCTTCACCACTTCAGAACCCGAACAGGTTCCGGGCCTCAGGAGAAGTTGGAGCCGCGGGGCCTCAGCGATCCACTGGCCGATGGCTATTAGGTTGGAGGCCATTGCTACTAAGGTGGAGGCCATCCCTACTAGGGTGGAGGCCATTGCTATTAGGTTGGAGGCCATTCCTGGTAGAAAAGCTCCATTGATTGATTTCAGCAGGAACCCTTTAGGTGCCCCTGCAATCTCTTCCTGGGTTCTTCAGCGCCACTGTCTCCACCCTGGCGGGGTGAAAAGAGGTATATAGACAGATCTGCCTCAAAGCAAGAAACGACCGGCGAACTGCAGGCTGCAGGTGAAGGTGATGTACAAACAGGGAAACTTTGGCCTCCAAACTCATTTGTCAACCTTCCGAGGGCTTTCAACAGTTTTTCCATCTATTTGGCGCCACTCTGCGGGACACTGGCCATGTCGCTTTTTCAGCAAGAGTTCTCGCCAGGCAGTGGCACAACCACGCCCCCTCATGTTGAAGAGCCGAAGCTGGGCGCAGCCGCTGCAGCGAGGGTGGTGGAAGTCCTCCTGTCCATGGAGGCTCAACAAGGCAATGGACCGGGTACAAATAGGATCCAGGGTACATGAGTTATTGTCAATTCAAATTGTTCCATGCTGGAGGGCGCAAAAAGCTCACGCAGCTCTTCGTGTCTCCTCCTCGGCGACCAATAGGCCATCCACACGAATGTTCAGCAAACGCTGATGCATCCAATCCAGGTCAAAGGAAAGCCTTATAAGTTCGAACACGCCACCAGGATGAACTGGGTGCGGAAGACACGCAAACAAACACATCATGATGGGTTGACCCATTAACAGTTTACTACAAACAATGTTCCCTTTTCAGTGGTCTAGGTATACACTGTAGCATACCTTGAGGTTGTGCACATGGATCACACCAGAGGCTGAAGCGATCGAAAGGCATGCAAATCGTAGACGTAGATCCATTCGACGTAGACCACTTCTATACTGACTGAAATAGACCTTGGGCTAGAATCTTGCAGAAAAGGTGAATGAAACCCGACTTTCTCGGCGGCATGCCGCTGTGATTGTGGATGGTCCGCCGCTCTGAACATGCGAAACAACCTGGTGCAGTGTCATGTTCTTCCAAGACATTGGGTGAGTTGCTGCTGCACTTGATCGAAGAAATTTCGAGCAAAGCACTGAAGCGGAATGAAATGGGGGTTCCACACGCTTATAATATTATAGACCTATTATAGTTTCAACTCCAACCTGCCCGACATGCACCCCACGCGTATAGAAGAATCCCACACCAGCATGTCAGAAAATCCTAAAGCACAACATCAATTTGCATCAACCATATGATCATGATCAATCATGCATCCTCTCACCCCTCTCACAATTGTTCCATGTCTGTCTGGCCCAGTTGCGACAAGAAGTTGGAAGGACCTGATGGGAGGTGCGGCAGCTGGAAGTCCATTAAGTTGATATGCACACAGCAAAGTGGGATTCCCACGAAGTCGCTCCTGCACGACTCGGAGAGCCAAAACGACCGAACACGTGGTCGGTACGGAGGTCGGAGGGCGAGCAACCAGCACTCGCCAACGCACCAGAACGAGATGAGACGTAGTTCAGACAGGGTCAAAAAGGAGCCTCAAATCCCTTAAGTTTGAGCCACAAAAGTTTCTATGGCATGTAGAAGTTGAACACTTTAAACTGTGAGGAGCCTCATCTTAGGCATCTTGAAAGCCAGCTTGATACATTGGCTGTGCTTTTGGTGACACCTCGCCAGCACCAAAGCGCGTGAGGCGCTGGTGACCAAACGCGTTGGGGATGTGCATGGTCACAGCGAAGAGGAGTCAGAGTTTAAGTGACGGATACAATGCCAGCTGGTTGGAAGCACTGGCCCAACAGTATACAGCGGGACCACAGTCCGACCACTGTTCCACCAGCCCCAAAACAAGCACCACGAATCGGCTCTTGAAAGCTGGCCATGATGCGCCAGAACTTCTTCATTGTACCATTAGCCAGAACTTCTTCAGCCACAGGAGTTCTGACTCAGTTCACTCCCCTTGAAAGCTGCGAGACGAGAGGAAACACCTCCGTCCTGCGCTCCACGTAGACCCACACGCAGGCACGACCTTCAGCATCCTGCAAGGCCACATGGCCTAGAGCACAATCGCCCTCGGCCGTCACCTGGATTTCGGAGCGAGTGAGGAAGACATGGGCTGCCCAAGTGGGTCGAGCAGGTTCCCATTGATTATAATGGTGTATTTGTTCGACAGAACCAGGGCCCTACACATCGGATCCAAGAAAGGATCCGAAGGCCTGACCGAAGGCCTGACGTTTCTGCTTCCATCCGTTTCCTCAAACTGGGGGGCCCATTCTTTCGCAGTTTGCCAATCTAGGAAGCCTTTACATCTATGGACGGCGCTTGACCTGTGAAGGGCGCCCCCTCTCCGGCCGTCATGTGGGCGCCAGTGAGCAAAGGCTTCATGACTTGACTTGATAAAGTGAAGCCATTGGATCCATGTTATTCAAGATGAATAGCAGAATGAGGGGGGTGAATGACTGAGGAGTAAGCTATCATGTTGTATAACCCTGGTGACTTTCTCGAGAAGCATCGTGTCAGCCAACGGCTTCGATTCTAACAGCCAAATTGTAAAGAATTCCGCAAACCTTGCGGTTCAACGCAGGTGGTTTGCGCCGATGCCCGTCCTCCAAACATGCAAGCCAAAGCGGCTTGGTCGAAAGGAGAGGTTGAAGTGTTTTTCATAATATCTCATAGGGCTTCATATATACATATATGTTTATGTGCCTTGCCTGAATAAGAAACAAAAGGGTCAGTCAACACATTTTACCCTACAAACCTCTCATCTTCCCATATCTTCGGTCTCCAACATCTCCATCTTTGCCAAGTCACTGCGATCCGGAAGCGCAAGCTGCTGGGCTTCTGCTCCAGCAAATGCACCAAACGTCCAGATGTGCCCCGCAACCAAAGGCGGCCGTGCGGAGAAAAGAGGTCTGGGGCAGCTCGTGGCGGCTCGTTTTTTCAGGGTTCGGGAACGGCCTGGGCCCCCCCGTGTCCGTCCGAGTGGGCAAGCGAGGGTCGTGATCTCTTGGGGATGTCTGGATGTTGCTGGACTGAGAACCTCATCTAGAAAAGAACATGTCGATCGTACAAGTTGCCACATGCCACCATCAAGTTTCAAGCATGGAGGAAAGTAGTCCCGCTTTCTCAACATGGGCATCATCACACTCCCCTCTACCAAGGCAACCAGCGGGTGGGGTTGGTACTTGAAGATCCTCACTCCTCTCACATTGACTACGTGTCAGTTGATGACACCTGGCAATGGGGTAGGCCTAAGGAGAAGAATCAAGTCAACACATTAGCGTGAACGAGAAACAACTCATGGGATTTGACACGGAAGTCCGCTGAAAAACCTAGCAAACGGAAGTCCTGTAGTTCACAACGTTAAAAATTGAAAGGGCTATTGATGGTCAAGGTCACCATATCGCTTGGGAGGCAGATGTACCCAAAAGAACACACCAGTCAGAACCCACCAAAACTTACAGTCGACCAGTCATCGCAACGCCATCGCAACCATGCTGCCCTTCACATGCACATCACGGTCCCTGCCTGCGTCCAAACGACTGACCGGCCGCAGTTGCCCATCCTCCTCCAGCCGCCAACGGCCTTCCCAGCCCGGCGCGAACTCCTGCACTGCAGGCACAAAAGCCACAAAAGCCACAACAACAACAAAAACAAAAAACAAAAAGAAATGACTCTTGTCGAGAGAAAGAAACAAAAACACACAAAAAGTATACATGCTAAAAATGAACAGAATCCGGTGCCGCACATCGGCACCTCGTAGAGGAGCGCCTCCTCTGCGAGCCAAAGCCGCCGCAACAGGCTGAGGCCAAGCCTCGTTTCTATCGACGACCATCTTGGAGGATGGTGATCCATTGTGATCCATACCAGGACCTTCCAATGGGTGTCTGGAGATCCCTAATGGGCGGTGGGCTGCCCAACCACTTGCACGCACGGTCCGGACCGGCCTCTGTGGATCGAGGCGCCCCCGCCGCGCCACCCGCGGCGCGCCAAGGCCTGGACCGACTGGACCGGGGAGAGCCCCTAGTAGCGTCATATCGCTCCAATTTGCGATGCCAGGAGCCCCTAGTAGCTTCTTGTTCCTAGTTTGCTCATGTCCTTGAACCATGGAGGCTTGAACTTGGGATCTCATAAAATGCACTTGTGAGTAGCAGAAGTGTGCATAAGTAGCTACCCCCAGCCCACACAAAAGTCTACCTTTCGAGGCCTAAGAAACGAATTGCAGTTTTTCAGAGTGTCAGACTGTAGAATCACTTCATATCCTCAATTTGGTCAAATCATGTCAAATCTACTCAGTGCATGGTATCTGTGCAGAACCAACCAAACACTATGGGGATTCGCAAATTGCTTGGGTGCAGGATCATATCCCTTTGGCAGGCACACATCTAAATCGGTTCTTGCAAAAAGAACACTGATTCAAATGAGTTGCACGTGGTTGAACCATTCCACAAGTGTTTCTGCAACTTATGGAGTGGTCACTCGGAGTGGTCGTAAAGGATGGTGTCATTTCTCAGGGCGAAGTACTCGAAGGACAAGATGTCCAACTCTGGTCTTCGGAGAAAACTTCTTATGTCTCATACTGTACAAGTCATCTCTATTCCCAGACGCTCCGTTTTTCACAGCCCGCCAGGTCACTCGTTCAACCTGGAGATTGGTTCGACCCCAGACCCTTGACCCAGACCGAAGATTCGAGTCCGATGGCCCAGGGTCGCGGACAGGACAGGACAACAGCCACTGGTTATGGCCACCGCACGGTGACACGGACCCTGCGAGTGGGGGCGGACCCGTCTCTGCAGTCCTTCTGTGAGCAAGTGCCGCCAAAGAGAGGAGGTGGCGGATGCCATGGCCAAAGACTTTGCTGGCACATGGTCCTCAGAGCAGAAACAATAAGCTAGTAGAAACAAGTGCATCGCTTCTAGTAACAAGTGCCTTACTAGTAGTAACAAGAAGCTATTAGAAACAAGTGCCACGCTAGTAGTAACAAGTGCCACGCTAGTAGTAACAAGAAGCTATTAGAAACAAGAGATAGAATCTTGCCAAACGACCAAAGACCTTTTTTGGCGAACGACCGGTGATGGATTTACACGACCTTTTTGGCCGTTCGAAGCAGTGGCCGTTTTACACGGTTCCATCCGATTGTGGTGTTTTCCAGACCGAACTGGAACTGGGTACCACTGCAAGATACTGTACTGCATGGATACCACTGTTCCAGTACTTGCTTGCTTGTCAGTGGCCAGACCTGGAGGAATTACTGTAGGACTTGAGGAGTGGCTTTGAGGGCTAACATGTTGGGGCGTAGTAGTGCATTGAATTTGTTCATAGAGCCTAAGGGCCTAATGCCGCGACAAGCCTCACAGTCACAAGGCTTGCTATGCGCCGATGGTGGAACAACCTTGGTTTTACTAGGTCTGCTTTGTAGATTTTTTCGCGCCTCCAGTTCGTTCGTTCCACTCAACGAATCTACTAAGCAGACCAAGGCTCGAAGGCCTGCAAGATCAACTCGGGCGCCAAAGGTACCATGGCGAGCGCAGGCAAGCGCGAGGCCGGAAGGAAACGGAAGGCAAAAAGGACGCCGGTTCTTGAGAAAAGTGAGAAAATGAGACAGTATGTTCCATTGATGTCTTTCCCATGTACTCAATTACCTTAATTACTTCATCTTACTTCATCTAAACTTCTTCCCGTTGGTGTATCCATCTAGATGTCACTGCCCATGTTCACTGTCCTCATTTTGGAACCACGCCTTTACTGCTGCTTCTTCCACTCACTTTCCTCTATGTCCAATGGTTTGTCGTGGTTTGTCTGGGTCTTGCACACACATATACTCACATGCTTGGCATTGGCTTTCTATGTGGCGTGTGAAGTGGTTCTGTTCTGTTTTCTTCATGATGTCAATACTGACAGCTTCTGAGAAGAGTCTTGGTGGTGTTCAATTCTGCGGAACAGCACCGATCGGACTGCTCGCAGTCGGGTTCGTGCAATATTCACACAACTGTGTGTGTGTGTGCTTGGTCATCCAATGTCGCGAATTAGGCAACCAAACTCTAGACCTGAGAAAAGTCAAGTTGAACAAATTGTTCCATTACTGGTTCCACTGGATCCGCCTCTTGGGTAGTTAAGCGGCTTCTTTGGCGGATGTGATGGATGGTGGAGTGAGCAAAACCATGGCGTGGGTTGTGTTTGACAAATGAAAAACTACCAAACCACTGGTGAGTTTGGTTTGATCAACATCCAAACCATTTGGTGTTTCTGATCAGGAAGTCAGGCGACAAGATATGTATGATAATGTATGATATAATAGTCAAATCACCAGGCACATGAGAACAACCGAGCAAAGTCATCAAGGTCTACAACGGAACATCTTGCACACCATAGTTGAACCAGTATGGATGGTTTGATACAAGTGCAAATCTCTGAGTTTTCTCAGAACTGATTCCAGTGTGCGAGCTTGAACGACTGCAAGACATGAATCAATCTCTCACCCAGCAAATCCAGTTACCCCTTTTTGGAGCTGAGGACCAGTGGTTCTACAGACTGAAGAACGGAACGGGCCCCTGATCCGGGGTACACCTGATTCCTTATAGAACACCTGTCTGGGATACATTGGGGTTTCGTTCAGGAAAACACCTCAGCCTGGAGACTCCGGCCGTGCCCGCCTGGGGACTCCGCCGGCGACCTGGGGAATTGCTGTAGGAATCAATGCGCACCCCAACAACCAAGGATTGAAATCCTTAGCAATTGAAAGTGGAAACTGTAACAGCTGAATTTGTATAGGCTGAATGTTCATCAACTGTATCTGCGAAACATCCACCATGAGAAATTTGTTTGCTGTTCTTTTTGAACCAAATCGGCCTTTTCTGGCCGAAAGAGGGCAAACCCCGAATCCCAAAAGAGCTGTTGTTCCACCGCACATCGAGCTAATGCGCTTGGGCCCCGAGCTTCTTCGGCTCCGGCTCCGGCTCCGGCTCCGGCTCCGGCTCCGCTTCCGACTCCGGCTCCGGCGGGCGGGTGGCGGCCTTGGATGAGGGCGGCGGTTCTGTGACCGGGGCGACTTGAAGGAAAACACCAAGTGGTCTGACGGACTGGAGATACCGACGCCTGCGCCAAATAATCCCTCGACTTTCCCGCCGGCCAGACATGTGTGTGTGTGTGATAGACTGAGTTACGTTTGTTGTCAAGGCGAATGGTTCCAGGAGCTCGCTGCACCCTAAGAAATCCAAAGGGAAAACACACGTTCTTGTAGGAAACAGTTAAAAAGCAAACAAGGAGCCGTTGGTGCACTAGGGAATATGGGCTTTTGCACACGCACACATAAAACACGCCCTTAGATAGGAGGCTCGCAAAAGCAAGTGTCAGTTGATGATTTTCCAATTTAGTTACTGCATTACCAGATTAGAGTTCTGAGAGCCGGATACCTTCAAAAAACCTAGTGTTTGCAAGGTGCAAAAAAACGCATTGTTTAAACCATCAGCTCAAAAGTTAGATCAAACCTGGTGCAGGTACACATTCAGGCGTCCCTGAATGTCTCCACCAATATTCTGTTGCCCCCTGCTGTGACTGCACAAATCAAATTGAATTTGTTTAAACGATTTAAAAGGGAAGAATGTTGTCTACAGTGTGTGGATCCCTGAGGAACAAGGTTTGACACACACACACACACACTTCGACTTAAGTCTACAGCCGGGAAAGGTAAAGGGCAAAGGACATTGACAGTGTCCTTGGCGGTAACAAGCAGGCACACCGGAGTGATCATGTCCCGGCTTCCACCTTTGCGCATAGCTTCATTGGCATGCGTTTGCGTAATGGCCGCATGCACCACGCTAATGCAAATTTAACCTTGAGGTGACGCACACCAAGTGGCCCCCGCACTGGCCACCTGATGCCAAGAAAAATGCCCACGGTGATTCAAATCCCAAAACTCCCCAGACCCCAGCCAAGGTCAATCAAATGGGGAGGAACCAAACCAGGTGATTGCCCAGACGGGCCCCTCAGTGGTCACATGTGGACTCCGAGTGTCCAAACCGAGCAAATAGGAAGTATGGCACGCAGAAAAGGGTGGGAAGGCATGCTGCAGGCATGGAATTAAGGCCCATGACATGGAAAGCCCGACGCACAGGGACAACCAATTCAACAAACCTGGGGCGCATAAACTGCGCACGCAAGAGCAGGAAAGGAATGTGATGAAAGGACCTGAAGGCAGGATAGACCCGAAAAGAAAATAAAGGGGCAAAGGGTGTCTGGAGGCAAATGAAAGGAAGCCAGGTGAAAGGGGACCCACCAGACAAAACCAAACCCGAAAAATCTGCTTAAAAAAGTGGTGCGCCTCGCCTCCTTTAGTTGGTGACACAATAGCCGCCAAAAGCTTGGCATGACACCACTGAGTCTTCGCACCAGGGGGCTGCGCCTTCAAATTCCGATCAACTCGATCAATCGAGACTCGAGAGATCTGGAGGTTTCAAGGGTGTCGGTAACAGACCACTTTGCAATATTCGGCAGTTGCAAAGAGCACGCCGCAATGCTCCCCTGCCGATGGGTCCTTTTCTCGGCGAGTCGGCGACTCACAGACGGTGTCGAGAAGGAATAGCCGAAACACATGGGAGATTGGGAAAAGTTGAGGAGCGATGTGGTTGTGTGGTGGTCCAGAACCTCCTAGCTCAACAGCAGTTGTCAAGTCAAAGGTGCGGGATACGGGCAGTGTAAGAGGTAGAGAGGTCTGCAACTAAGCATCTCAAGCAGCATGAGCCTGAAGCTGAAGTTGTCATAACATGTGTATGTGTATGTGTGTGTGTGTTAACACCTGTTTCTAAGGTTTTAACTGGTAATTTTTACCGTCGGTTCCACTAGAAGGCTGGGTGCTACTAGTAGTTTCTGACCTTACTACTAGGACCAAAAGAAGCAGGGGGCCACAGACCTGCCACTGCTGCTGTGGCCAACGAAGACCGGCAGTGGCAGGTGTGAAAACGTACCTGCAAAACTGTTTAAAACTGTTGAAAGCGGCTAGTGCATAGGCGGTCTGCTAGGTTTTCTGTAAAACGGCTAATGCATAGGCGGTCTGCTAGGTATTCAGTAAAGCGGCTAAGGCATAGGCGGTCTGCTAGGTATTCAGTAAAGCGGCTAATGCATAGGCGGTCTGCTAGGTATTCAGTAAAGCGGCTAATGCATAGGAGCTGAACCTTTTGTTTAAACACCTTCAACTGCTTGGACCTATCGCCTTTCCGTTCTTTCGCCTTTCTTCCACCTGGGAATTGAGTTAACAGAAAACCAATGTCAGAGTGTGTCACGCTGGGTTCTTGGCTTAGCCCAGATCCCATCTTGGCTACAAGCACGTACACCCGAGTGATCAATCCCGGTTTCCACCAATACGCATAGAGGTGTTGACTCCGACTTCTTTTTCCTATTTGAGCAGGGGGACCATCCATGTACGGTGTGCGATGGTCCAACGAAACAGCCACAGTACTTGCGGATATCACGGCTGATCACCGCGACGTACCTGCGAATTTTCGAATGGCACGAGGCTGATCCCAGAACCTCAATGTAGCTGAAGACAAAGAGCGACCGCCGTAACTTCGACCTGTTCGTCGTCCTCGATCTTGGCCCTGTGGCAACATTTCCTCTTGCGGAGCCCCATGCCCCTTTAGGACTTTCCTGGAACTTTCAGGATGTGGGGGTCTTAGGATGGCGTGTGGGACCGCCGTCAAATCAGTATGCATTTCCATGAGTGTGTAAAAGGTACCTTGCATGGATATATCAAAGAAGCTTCATGCGTCTCTAGCAGCAATGCGCGTTATGTGCGAAGCTGTGAAATGGTACTGTGAGTACTGTCATCCTGTGAACCCTTGTACGACATTACCTGGTTACACATGTTGAAAAAAGAACCACTAAGCCTAGACTGACATATTCAAGAACTGTGAGATGCAGTTCAAACTGTCTCTGTTGTTCTTCAACGATATCCCGTCTCCCGCAGTGCTCGGCGCAAATCGATGTAGACTGCCGCCTAGCAGTAGCGCAAACATCATTCAACAGACCTAACACTGGTCAGCACACGCATATGTGCACCGTGCGCCTGGCAGTCCTTTCCTTAGATGCCAAGAACTGCGTCGAATGTCGGGAAAGCAAGTTGTAGAGAAACTTCCGTTATTCCCCAGATCTCAACCAAGTAGCGAAAGCCTGAGACTACACGATCGTCATCTGGCTCGAACGGCTGGAAACGCACGTGATTTCTGTTGCCTCCACCGCCGCCAGCCACCAGGCCGTCCCTGCCAGTGGAGGGATTAGACGCAACATGAGTTTTCCCTGCAAAGCCAGAAAAAGATGGCTAGGATAGAAGGCGAAACCGATTGGACGCCGATCGGTTCTCCGCCTCCGAATCTTTCGCAGGCAGCTCCAGTAGCCTGGACCGCCAGGAGTGCTATAGGTTGAGGCTTTCATAACATGACAACACGGAGGCTTACAAGTTAAGCCTTTAGGCCGTGGGCGAGATGTGGCCAGCATGCATGTACGCAGAAGTTTGACAGACTATCCTGACAAACGCTGCCTACCGGCACATGTAAGTAGACACGTCATCACTGATGTGGTGCATTTCCAGCCGGCGAGCTCTTTCAGCTTCTGGCAAATATGGTCTGCACTTTGACCACAACATGGGCTTGAGGTTCTTGAGCCTAACCTATGTTAATATTATATATATATATGTTTATATATGTCTAAAAAGTTCTCAAAGCTGGCTAATATCTGTTGCCAGCTTTGTTGTTTTGTGGGGGTTGTGTCGCGTGCGCCGTTCTCGATTCGACTTGCCGCCCACCCGCCCTCGATTGAGCATGTTCAGCAACCATGGCTCAACCACATCAAAAAACAAGCATACTCACAAAACAATTTGCAGAGGCCCTCTAACATTTGGTGAGCCATGACAGCATCACACTCTACAAAGCAAGCATGCAATGCTTTTTCTCTTTTGAGGGTGGGCCGCGCGGCCCGCTCCATCCAAGCTTGTGCTCGGGGCTGAGTGTCTACAGGAACAGCTCCACCCATGCCCTGTAGCGACCCAGCGTCACTGCAGCCATTGTTTGTGTATGGGTCTGTGATGCTATCTTGCCAATGTGCTGCATGAGATCTTCGTCTTGGTAGTTGTGTTCAAACCTAGAGGGTTGAAGTTGTTTGAAGGAGAACACACAACACCTTTGCCAGTATCTTAAAAACACTTTAAGAACAATTTGGGTGAGTTCTTTCAATCTCCAAACCTTGGATTGCGTCTTGTCTTTTTGACGTACAATAACATCTCGAGCAACGAGTGGAACTTCGGGGTGATCTTCAGAAAACGACGCCCGTCCGTTCGAGCACGATCTTGTCCTGCCAGTTCCTGGTAGAACAATAATGCTGCATGCCCATAGCGAGTTACAAGAGTCACCTCCTGATCTCCAAAAAAAGGTCCCCCTTCATCTATAAAATATTGGAACTTGGCGAAGGAGTGCATGCAAAGCCAGCGTAGTCTTGAGTTGGGAACATTGCCTTCCTGGTCCTGGTCTTTCATGTAGTCACTAGCCCAGAACATCATGGTTTTAACTACTGCCGCCTTGTAGTGGCTTGACAACTCCGGAAAGTCAGCCCAACCCAGCTTGGAAAACCTCTTCCCATTGAATCTGAACGATGTAGCTGTATACTTTCTTGCATGTGTGCGACACCAACTTTTGTAGTGTAAGTAGACCTCTCTCTGGAGCAATGTATCCAACTCAGACAAAGTCAAACTAGGATGCTTGCTCTCAAGGCCGCTGCAAATCAGTGCAGGGATCACAACACAGGCGACACCCTGATGAAGTACATGGAGCAAGTCCTGAGGTCACACAGGCGCAGGCAAAGTTCATGAACAAATATGGCCAAACCAAAACATAACCCCACTACAAAGAAAAGTCCTGAGGTCACACAGGTGCCAAAACATAACCCCCACTCCACAGAAAACTTGTTGACCGGAGGAGGCTCTTCTAAATTACGGTCCTTGGTCCAACCCCTGACACAAATCCATGGGCTGGGCGGAGACATCATCAAGTATTGTTCGTGTGTGAACCGTAGTGACAAGCAGTTGGCGTTGCTGCGGAAATCACCAAATGTGTTGTGCTCTTCGTACGACGCGCAGCAGTGCTCACAGATGTACTTGGTAGCGTAAAATCTGTTGAGGCGGTGGACCTGTTGCCTCGCCTCCCAATCTCCTTTGAAAGCAGCAAAGGTCATAGTCCAATTGAACTCAAAGGGTTTCCCAGCACGAGAAGCACTGGAAGACCCCATGGGCCACCTGCACCCCTGCGAGTCCAATTCTGGATATTTACCACTTCTCAAAGTTTCAACCATGTACGATATCAGCGCAGCAATGGAGGCGTGAGTCTTGTGTTTGACGATTTCTGACTCCCTTACAACAATAAATACCCACTTGGTTCTCATGGAAGGCCCCTTCCTGCACGCGGAAGACATGCTGTAAATAAACATCTTTTGATGGCGGTATACCCTTACCCCATCGCAATGTATGTAAAGTGGCACACACTTCCCAAACTCTTCACGTCCCACCTCGAGCTTTTCGAAAAACTCTAACTTAGATGCGTGTTCACAATACTCTGTCGTTCGTGAAGATGCTGTGGCAGGGTCGTCGGCTATCCACTGAAGCAGTTTCCCAGCTTGGTGCAAATGAGAAAAAAACTCCCAAGGCCAGAGTATTGTTGTTGACTGTAGGATCTCCTCCTCTTCCCCATCCGCACGAGTTATCATCAGTGGAATCTCCACGGTGTCTGGGGCGACAGAACAAACTTTTTTGCACCACCTTGAGGGCCAAATACCGGCCAAGTGTTCCAAAATCACAAATTACAAACTACATAAACCACAAAATATGTTTGTTTTCAGGTCGCCCCCATGCCTCGCAAAAGACCGTTCCTCGTGACCCTTCGACCACTGGGACATCTCCATTGCCAAGGGGCAGTAGAATCCATCCTTGATTAAATTGCCAGCATCATCACGAGCAGCAGCAGCTGATAGAGCCTGAAGCAAAGGTTTATTTTTGGGGCCCAAGACTTTTGAGAGACACTGTCACAAGTGAGCTAAATGCATGAACTCATTTCACACGTTGCGAGACTTTTGTACCTCAGGCCGGAACCCCGCAGCACACTTTCTTCAAAATGCGTCTTCCTGATTCCGAAGCTGCATCCCAATCACCTGGGACCGAGCAGGGGAAACTTCTATACCCTCATGTTGGGACTACCCGCATGTTTGAAGCTCTGCGCTACCGAGGCGCCCCTGGCGTTCGATGACTGTTTTGGAGGACTTCTGGAGCGATCTCGTTTCCTGCGAGGGTGGTCATGGACTGGGTTTCAGGCCACTTGGCCTTTCATGTGGGAACCTCAAACAGGTAGGCGTGATTTTCTCAAACCTTTCTTGAACATCCCAAGCTCTTGATGGATTGAAGTTGCTTTGCAACTAGAATGGAACAGCGGACCAGGAATCAATGCACGCAGACAGGTGCACTAGGTTATGGTTTCGTTTGGAACTCTAGGACTAGGCTTTGTGGCCCACTGTTCTCCCCACACGGTCGTGTAGCCTGAACTGGCCGCTTTTGGTGCCCTACTTCAAGCTTTTGGTGACCGACATGAACACATGAAAAAAATGCCCATCTAAGATTTCCCATCAGTGATGGCCAAGGGCTCTTCCCCTTTCACATCAGAAGGCTTAGGGGCAGCCTTTGCTCGTGGCTTCTTATCCACTGCACGAATGAGGGCTTTCGCCAAATTGACACGCTCACTGGCAAGCTTGCGAAGCTCGTCCACCTGATCAACAAAAGGGTTGGGGGGGTTACGAAGAAGTATACCAAACGTTTAGCAGAACTAGTTGTTTGAAGGTGCACTGAAAAATTCCAAGTGTTTATTCTAATAGAATAGCCTCTTGCAAGACATCCTTGTAGTGTTTGTTCTTGTTTCGCTTCTCACGGACTTTCAGCTGCAAAGCTTCTGCCGTCTGGTTCAACTTGACGGCGCAGGCTTGCAATTGGCCAATGAGCTCTTTGCTCATAGAATGGGGTCGTAGTTTGAATGCAAGATCCCTCGGGAAAGACACTGCATATCAAAGGATGCTTGCAGATCTGGTTTACAAACAAAGATAGAGGTTCATTCAGCCTAGCAACCTGCACTCATTCGCATCCTTCAGGATCTTTTGAATCAGTGCTTGGGCTTTCTCCAGGGGGCTCTCGGGAACCACCTGAAACAATGGGGACTGAAGGGTGCACACATGTAGTCACAACCCTGCCCTACCTTCTTCTCCTTCTTTGGTTTGTCTTTGGGGTTCTCAGCTTTCCTTTTTGATCCGGTTGAGTTCAACAGCTTCTGCATGCCATCGGCCCCCACCATTTGCCCAAGACCAAGATGCTGCTTGCCATCCAAGCACCCACCAGCCTAAGATAGAAGAAGAGGCGGTTAGGTCTAGCTAAGTGCTTCATTCAGTGAGTTATTTGAAACACAAACACTTTGTTGTTGCTAAGGTGCCTCGACAAAGGCCTTGAGGCCATCTTGGTCTAACTCACCATTCATCTCGAGTTGAACCACCCTCCGGAGTTCTTTGGTGTCCGTTATGTCCAAATCAATGAGCACGAAGTACAACTTCTCATTCTCTCCGGGGAGCTCAGGGTCGTCCATCGTCCTTGGGCCGGGCTGCAGGATCTTGGGTGATCTCGGACGAGCTCCTTTAAATCAACTACAACATCCGTGAAGGCTGGAGAGTTTGGTCGAGATGTCAAGACAAGGTTCAACCCCAAACGGGTCTTCCTCTCCATAATCTTAGCGGCTTTTTTGGGACCGTGCGTAGTCTCTAGCCACTGCTGCCCTTTGAACCCATACTTCACCTTTGAGCGTTGGGACTCCTGAAGAGACAACTCGAAGTGGGCCTCAACCTCAGCGAACTGACAGTCTTTCTCAACGAAGTGGTTGAACAATTGGTTCCGCGTCTCCTGCCAGTGGGAGATAGTGGGTTGAGCGAGTGATAGATAGTGGGATGAGATAGTGGGAGATAGTGGGTTGAGATAGTGGGAGATAGTGGGAGCTACAGGGGTAGGCAATGTGAAAGGACAAAAACATTTGTAGCCCAGCCTCGGACTTGCAAGCTGCGATGATCTTAGCTGGGCATCGCTTTTTGTTCTTGACCCACCGACCAAACTTCTGCCACTTTGCCCGCGCATTCGTAGCATTCCACTTGTGCGAAGCTTTCTCAGCCTCTGCAAGTTTCTTCGGTTTCTTGCTGCCCTCATTGTCCTCCTCATCCTCATCCTTTCTTCTCTTCTTGGTCTTGTCAGTCTTGTCATCATCAGAACCATCACTCTCAGGCTTCTTCTTCTTCCCCTCCTTCTTCTCTTTGCTCTTCTCTTTGCTGGACTTCCCCTTTTTATATTCCTTCTCCTTCTTCCCTGCGCCCTTCTTGGCTTTGGATTTTGTTGCTTCCTCTTCCTCCTCCTGGTCCTCTTCTCCCTTTGCCTCTTCCTCTTCTTCCCGTTCGCCTTCGCTGTCTTCATCTCCTACTCCTCCTTCTTCACTGCATTCATCTTCATCGTCTTCGTCATCATCGGATGACTCCTGACTGGAATCTTCCTCATCAGATTTCAAGCTGCCGGTTTTCATCATCCTCCTCACTGTCCTCATCGGCGATCACATCACAATCACTTTCCTCATCTTCAGAGCTAGTAGGGTCCTCTTCGCTTCCCCCACTTTCACTCTCATCATCCTCATCAGCGTTATCCTGAACCTCCTTATCTTTCTTTGCCTTTCCTTTCTTCTGCTTCTCCTTCGCACCCTGATCCTGCTTCTCTTTCTTTGCATTTTCTTTCTTCTGCATTTCCTTCTCCTCCTGCTCCTGCTTCTCTTTCTTTGCCTTTTCTTTCTTCTGC